ATTGTATGTTATGTACTAAAAGTGGAATTGTTGATTTATCAATTAATATGTAAAATTTGTGAGCTGTCAAACATTTAGTAATATTAGACATCCTTTCTGGTGTAATTTACTAGCATCATTAGTAGATATAGTTTCTCCATGCACCTTGAAGCAGAATAGGTTGTAGACAGAGTAATATTAGCAAATACAGCACACCTTATATTAAATTAGCAAAATAATTATAAAAATGTCCATGTAGTAAAAATTTGGTTCAAACACCTATCTATCTAACACACATTTCAGTTTAAATTTTGGCAAAAATTTGAGTATGAATGTTTCTTTGCATGACAGATCATCCCACTTATTCTGCCATTCAGTTATACTTGGCTTATGAATCATCTGTTCTATTGCTGCAATTAAAGTTGCAGAGACATTAGGTTATTTCAAAGCAGGAGATGTGAAAAATGAGCTATGCCCTTGAACCATGGACATCTCGGATATGCGCTGACCACTATATCACAAAGGCATGCTAAGAAGGTGGGAGAAATACCTTATATACTCGCCCCTTAATAAAGGGGGTGTATATTAGGGGACCCCAATCGCCAAATCTCCGTGGTGGAGAATCATCATCCACCACATTTTGTAGTTCGGGTGCCATTGTACAGACATTAGGTTATTTTGAAGCAGGGGATGCGAAAAATGAGCAACGCCCTGGCCAGTACTCAAACCACGGACCTCTCTAATACACGTCAAGTGTTCTGACCACTACATCACAAAGGCGGGAGAAATACCTTATAGAGTGTTCAAGACGAACTTGATATTAGTGGCGTAAATTTCATTCCAACATCCACTTTACCATTCTGCTACCTTATACATTATTTTTAAATGGCTACATACATTGGCATTACAATGTGCTGATATTGTATCTCAAACCTTGATGAACATATTACTATTATGCATAGCTTTCAGCTTGGACTGGAAAAAACTAGAGATAGGTTGGATCATTAGATCTTAAATTTATTCAAAATATTCAAATAATACAATGAAGCAGAAAAAGGAGAACTTTTGCTCAACATTAAAAGCTTTTAAATAAAGAAAAACCTTGTTTGTGTTGCTAATAGTTAAATTATCTGTGTTTTATACTGAGATCATTTGAAAGTTGAGTTTTATGAGAGTGCAACACACTCGTTCGCTTAAGATTCCAGCAAATTACTAGAATAGAGTATTAAAATAGTGTGGCACTCGTGAGATGACACTGCTGATCAAGTAGGACTGAAACTGTACTAAACACATTAGTTCCTTAGCAAATACTTCTACTGGACTTCAATAAAATTAATCTTTTCAAAGATTTTAACTAAAACATTAACAATTCAAGGTTCTAATGGTAAAAAAGATTTTACAGATTTGTTTTATGAGACTTGCAAATGCATGTCTCATGTATGTATCATATTTAGCTTTCAGAAATTAATTCAAGGCTAGGTTTATGCATGTATCATATTTGGCTCTCAGAAAATAATTCAAGGCTAGGTTTATTTCAATGTCTAGGATCTCATTTTAATTTTGTAGGGAAAATCTGAATTATCTTTTATGCCTGGAAAAGTTGACAGCTTTAATTTTTGCTTCATGAATAGCATTTTCCCTGTTTCATTTTTCACATGCTGTTCTATATCATTTATTTCATTCCTTCTAAAATATTGCATAATATGAATTAAAAATAAAGAAAACTGCAGATGCTATTTTTACAATCAATGCTTTATTTTTCATCATCGTACTTTTAAATACTATTAAATCTTCACTCATTTTCAGTTTATTTCTATTAAAACCAGTCAACAATTATGAACATTGAAAAAAAGGGAAGAAAAGAAATGGCTTGATTTTCTTGCTGTATAAAAGAATACTCAGTTGCATTGTATTATAGTTTGGAATTTATACTTCGTAGGTGCATGCATCCCTGAATATTAATTATTTCTACGAAATCATATTAATTACACAAAAAGCAGCATTTTGATTAATTTACTTCATTCTTTCTATTCAAATCTTATTTTGTTACTTTTAAAATATGTAAATACAGACTTGTGACTTTTGCAAAAGTCAGTTGTGGCACCTACTGTCATAAAATTTGCCACTGGTCATAGAATGCACTAAACTGTTGATCGAATTTTGAATTGCACTGAACTCCTTCAAAAATTTACTTTCAGAATCTGGAGGTACCGGGGAGACATTTGGTAGCCTAAGGCATCACAGACACATAATTGGGTCAGGTGAATAAGCTAGCCAATTTATTCAAGTAGTACTTTTTTGTTTAAAATATTCTTACAACAGAGATACTCAATGCAAACAAGTATTATCATCCGTTTGCAAAAAATATGGTTCAATGCCAGCATTAAACAACTTTTCAAGGGTTTCAGCGACCTTTTGCAGATACCTGTAACCACTTACAAAATCTCCATCAAAGATGTGGCCGTTTTTGACGATTTTGTCCCACATTATGAAAGCGCTAACATGGAATTGTGATTTTGCATGACCAAGAAAAGGGGAGTTTCATACATCTTGCACAATCCAGATGCAAACACATCTAGAATCGCAGTTCGGGTTATTATCTGGACATGTCAGAAAACAGCACATGGTCCCATTTCTCTTGGCTCCATTAAACAATATCAACTTAAATGGGCACCTTTGAAAGATGAAGAGAGACATAGATTAATTGCTTCTTTCCATAAGATCTATCATTGTGAAGCAATTGAATGACTGATTCAAATGGCAATATGAGGGTCTTGCACCTGTTTCACAGGCTGCCTGACAGTTGGGCAGGAATAATATTTTTAGCTTATTGGACGACAATGCATGAGCTGAAAGCCTCCAAACTAATATTCAAATGGGATTGGTCACCATTCTCACCTAACTTGAGTCTGGAAAATCCTAGATAGGTGTGCTGCAGCACGCAAGCACGCTCCTTGGGACATTTGGTTTCCCAAGGAAAAGAATTAATATCTGCCATCATGGTCATCCATTAAGCATATATGGTTTAATGGGTGCTTTAATAGTATGGAAAGTTGTCATAAAGCATGCCTTTCTGCAGTGTATATTTTAGTTTTAGTATCAATATTTTAGCATTATTCAACTCACTCGTAATATGGTTTTTAAAATGCTTGGGTACAATTTTGACATATTCTTTTGTTCCACAACAAAAGTTCAGTTTGACTTTCAAAATTACCTTTTATTCTGAATATCATTTAAATTAGAATTTCTTTTAAAAATCAATATTACAGCAATTCATACAGTAATTTAGACACTGAGAAAACAAGGCATATTAGATTTTGCACGTTGTGTTACACATTGATAATGGAATGTGTGCAAAAATGTAACCTAAAAAAGTAATATCACACATTATGAATGCTTTGAGATATAATAGTAAAAAGGTAAATATGCACGAATACTTACATTTACTATAAAGGTTAAATAATTTTTTTCTCAAGAACAGTAAACTTACTAAGTGACACTAAGGGAACATGTGCTTTGTAAATCTGTGGGATATTTCAATCACTTGGCAGGCATCACTGGAACAGACAGAAGAAAACTGGTAAAGGCCTCTTTACCCTTTCTTACCCTACTAAATTCAATGACATTATTTTAATATCCCTTCAAGTAAGAAATTTTATCTCACAATATACAGTACAGTAGCAATCAATTACTTTATTTTAGTCTTTTTATGTACTTTGCAATTACTTTCTTTCTTATTTTCAGGGTGAGTGAATTTCCCCCTTTTTAAATCTGGGGAAAAGTGTAAAGTAAAATATTTATTCAATGAGAATGAAACAAAATTCCCATTACAATATGTATCTTGGTTTAAAAAAAAAATCCAATCTTCCAAATGAGCTGAATTTATGGTTTATATGCATATTCGATGTTCTGTTGTATTTATTCTACAACAGAAATGAAATTAGCCAGAATACCATCATACACTTAAATGACACAGGGATTGTCAAAATTTTTTTTATTCTTGATCTTTATGTGGACTCTTCCATTCTTGTAATGACACAGGTAGACAAAGAATATTAAAAAACATATGCTCATTAATTATAGTTTTCTACCAATGTACAGTTGTGCATTTATTTATGCTTATCTGCAAACTTGACTTTTATGTACAGGTTAGTGCATGAAATATGCAAATTAGGCAACTGGCAATGTGTAGCAATTCCAGTAGAATTGTTTAAAATTAACATGGTTTATGACAGTAATCAATATTCATTAGCTATAAATCAACGACATCACTGAAGTAAATGGAAAAAATGGCAGTTAATTGGTAGACTTAATGAAGTTTGCCCAAGATTATCTCTCAAAATGTCATATCAAGAATTTAGAAATATTTTAATCTGGATGGAGTGAGGAATGTGAAAATTACCTTCTCTTATTCCTGACAGATCCATTTTCCATCGAAGCAGTTTCATGGTTTTGGCGGAATTATCGAAAATGGCCACACCAAGCTTCATGTCTAGTCCAGATTTTCTGCTAATGCATGGTAATGCTCTACATAAAACATCTTTTGTGTCAGAATATTTGGAAACGGAAGGTGTACCTCAAATGGACTGGCAAGCTTACTCATCAACTTTAAAAAAAGACTGAGCTTGTTTGGGATGCCTTAGGTGCAAAATCACAGCATATTAAATGCATTCCTGGACTTCCAGATTCTGAAAATGCCATTCCACAAATTTGAATGAACAGTCTGGCAAACTGTTAAATGTGACTGTATGCCATGTTAAAGAAACATTTGCAGCAAAACAGAGGAGATAATTTTCAAATTTCCATAAATATGACTTTTAATATTTTGAAATTAATCAACTGACAAACACGGTAATTTACATTCAACAATGCTTTTGTACAAATCATTTTGAATAATTTTTCGATGAGTTAAATTTTATTTCTGTCAAAATCCTTTAATTCTTACAAAATTCCTTTTAAATAATGAAATAATATTTAATCTTTGGTGAAGTGACACAACAACATTATAATAAAATAAAACATTTATAAAAAAGATTAAGATAACTTTATTGACAGTTCATACAAATAAACCAGGATGATGATTCTGCAAAAAGACAGAATGCAAAAAGTTATACATTTCATCATTTAATTTATGTTCAAATTTGAATGCTGTTGATCACTCGATGGAGCTGCAAAGAGAAATTAAAGCAGAATTAAATGAGAGTTCAGAATTTACACAAAATATAACAAAGCATTTCACACAAATCTATTCCCCTCTTTCTTCATTAGCATATATACTGTTAGTAACTATGAAAAAATAAATGCTGACTTATAGAACATACTTAATCATCTAAAAGCATAAGATTACATATAACAGTTAATAAACAAGATGTCAATAATTTGGATGTACTATTTTACTCAGTAATTTACTTTGCTAGTGTTGTTGCATAGAAAACTTGTGTAATCTGGGGATCTGCTTTTCAACAATAATTTTTTGGGAACAGAAATATTTCAATTACAAAACAAGATTATTTGGACAATTTAATATACATAATATTGAAGAGAAAGGAAATTTTGAATTAACACGCAAATAAAATAAAAATATACATCACTTACAATCGTTAAAATTTATTGTTGTTTAAAAGTGAAACATGATCAGGGGTTAATTTCTTTATGACTTGTTGTCATAAAAATTATTTTATTATAATAAATTCACGTAGAAGGTTGGTAACATTTCTTAAACTTAAAAAATAAAAATTTAAATTAATTAACAAAACTAATAAAAATGTTTTAATTATGATCAGGCAAATACATTATTTAGAGATTTTATTAGATTTCTTCTTCTTTATTAGATTCATTTTAAGTATTATTTTTAACATGCGAAGAATGATGCTGCTTCCTTGAAACAAGAACATCAATATCGTTTGATGTTGGAAAATTCCACCTTGAAATCTGCCCCTAAATTAAGCATATTTCTGTACTTTGATTTTACATAAAATAGAAAGGCCTCTTCACTAAGTAAGTTATGCAGAATGGTATAAATGTTTCAGTGCTTTATCTGGGAGTACAGAATAATCGGATGTAAGACTCAAGCAAAAATTTATTACTTCCATGTTCTTAAATTGGTGCTTTAAAGATAACATCAATGATAACTTTGAGAGACTATCTTCTTCAGTTACAGGAAAATGTTTAGCATAACTTATTTCTATGTTGAATGAGTTGCTAATCCAGTTGTTGTCAAAATCGGGACAAGGGAAATATTTATTAATGCTCACTTTTAGAGTTTTTAAATGTTAAAAAAAATCTGCCATTCTTCATCTCAAAGTTTTTGATCTGATGCTTCTTTAAAACCGTTGTGTTAATAATGACTTACATATACAGTAATAATTTATATTTCTAAGCTATTTGCAGCTACACCTCGTAGGATTGATGTGGTACAGTAGAATTCTAGAAATCCGCAAAGCTTCGGACTAAAAGTGCAAAAATAAATAAGGTGTATTAGATACATTTCATTAAATTATTATATACAGTATTGCAATAACTTATTATATGCATTAAATTATTATTATATATATAAATTGATTACATTACTCATTGTATTATACATACACAGCATTGAGGTTTCCCGATTTCGCCTCACGCAAAGATTTCCGGTTTCTGATTCCAGTGTTAGAATCACTGTTGCTGTAAAATTTCAACAGCTTTTCTTTATTTTTCCATATATCATACACAATCGTATCGCAATTCCATACGATTCTGCTATAAGCCGAGGAGTAGCACCTGTCTCCATGTTTTTCAGAATTAGCACTTTTTGCATTAACGTCAATGCAACATGTTTACGTTTTTAAACGTTGCAAGCAGTAAAATCAGGAGCGTGTTTCTTATCTGTCATTGTATCAAAAAGGAATGAAATTTAAAATATTCTTATTTATCCACAAAATATCCGGATAACAAAAAAGGCAGCACTAAATAATCTCGTGAAATAACAATGCTCAGAAAATACAACAACGTGAATCGTGAACTTGAAAGAAGAGTTGAGTGAATCGTCTGCTTTCTTACCTCGATGCAGATTAGAAGGGGGAAAAAAACTTTTATCATGATGTCAATAATTTGGTATTTCCGTTATGACTTTTATTATTCGGTAATTATGACGTCATTATTCGGTAAGCACTTTTTCTTCGATATTTCGTACTCAATGTTGCGGTTTCCGTAACCCTATAAAATGAATGTTTATATTTTGAGAAGCGACACGGATTTCAGGAGTTGGCAGATTTTCGGAATTTGACTGTAAATCCACCGTGACCAACACTCGGAGGACAGGATTCAAAAGTGAAAACGTTATTCCCTCTGACTATAGCTCATTTCATACAAGATTCTCATGTGGCATCACTGATAGTTTGCTGCCCAGCACCATAAGTTGGCCTCTTTTTGCATTTTATTTTACAGTTTTCAATAAAAGCCCATATCATTTCAAGCATGTGTGTCAATTTTTACCTCTCTACCCGCATTATTTTGTGAATTATTGAATTTTCATATGTTAACGAACTTTCGGGTTACCGGTAATTTTCTCAGGCACTATTTACTTTGATGCTTTATTTTATTGTGGTAAATGTGAAACAATCCACTACAACTTTTCTTTTCAGACAAAAATTTTAAACTAATTTAATTAATGCCAAAAATGCTTTGCAGACTCCTCGATATAGCTTCACTGATCCCGCAGGGTCATGGAACACAGTTTAAGAACCACTGCACAGGATGGAAGTGGCATGGAAATTTCAGCCTTCCTTCAATAACAAAAAGTTTTAGTTAATCCTTTGCATCAGAGTGTGTCCGGTGTGGACACACCTAAAAATTTCCTTCTGTATGCACAGAAAAATTGAATGAAAAAGGATTTATAGGTTATTATATAGGTTACTCTGAACCTTCTTTACTTAGTAGGTGGCAGCTCAACACAACCAGTCCATATATTTTAGCCTGTTTAGTTTTTAAGACCTCATTTTGTAAGAAATTCCAGATTTTTTTTAGGGTATAAGGAATTGTTTGAAAAGAAATTTCCATGTTATTTTTTTGGCTGTGCTAATCTCTTATTCTATAATAGTTTAAAATTTTTACCTTGAAATCTTGCCTAAAATCAAACGGCGAACCCTAGGTGTGCCCAGACCGTCTCACCGATAATCAGGACAACCGAGCGTCTTTATTCTTTGTTTCTCCGCATTCATCAGTCAGTTCATAACAAAATGTCGTTTCAGCTCTCTTTCGAAGTGATCATCAGTGTGCACTTGGGCAACCACAAATTGCGTTGTGTGTGAGTATGCAAGCTCGAGGGCTATCTTCCTAAGAGAGGATGCTCATGGAGACTTATAGGAAACTGGCTCGTAACACGTACATGGGGAAACCACGAAACCCCATGCAGCAGCCCGTTCGGGGATTCGAACTCGGACCGACTACAGTGTTCAGCGACTTTACGCTCGGCCGCTGGTGGGCCCCCCCCAGGAATGAAACAAAGTTTTATCTTCACAAAATTTACTGTGTACTCCTAGGCCTATGAGCTGCCTCCTTTTTAAAATCAAAACTCCGACTTTAAAAGGTAGCGTGCTGGAAAGGGTTAAAGCTACCTATTTACCAAATGACTTTTTTTACCACATGTTTATTTTAGGATATATATACTAAATTAACATAGATTTTACCACATATTACATATGTAAAATTTGTTTCCTATGAATCCATATTTGCTAACCAGACATATTTTTAGAAATTTCCTATCATTCACAGTTTTTAAACACCTTCATTTGAAAACATCTAAGAATGTCATTATATTGACATTCTTAGATTATTCCTTCTTTAAGTGCTTCAAGAAACTTATCTAAAACTGATATTTCTTTGCACACTGATTGTTTTAGTTTCTTCATAAACATATTTTCCTAAGATTCTGTACATTTAGTTTCATCAACTATAACAATGATAGCAAATTATTTTCTTTTACAATCAATTAATCAAATCTATTTTAGAGACTACTGCTGCACTGTAGCAAATTTCACCAGATTTTAGGATAAATTAACAATATGCACAAATGGCCATTTATAACAGAACAATTTAAATTTAACATTTATATTACAAGCTTAATGTAATGCAGTTTTAGTTGGGGGAAAAATCCAATAAAATGTACCAATTCTGTTTCCAGCTTGATTTGGCAAATACCAAGTCCCGAGATTGCTGAATGTAACAGGTACATCCTGTACCATGGTGTTTCATCATTTTGATATGTTCAGCCCTAAAGCTACACAGTAAGGTAACTGAGCCACCATAAAGCAGAAATACCTGGAAGTGTGGATCATTCTCAATGAATACAACACTGTTAAGGATTATCGACGAATCAAATCCACCTAATTGTTCAAACTTTCTAACCTGAGGGATGTGCTATGTAAATAAGATGAAATTGCACCACAATACACACTATAAAACTAGTAACTGGGTGGTTTGAAAAACAAAGAAGCTTTAATACCTTTCACATGCTGCACAGACCCCTGATCATTGGGTCTGAGTGTGATATACTACAAGACATAGTAAAAAAAAAAAAAAAAAAGTTTCTTAATCATCATGAAATGAAATAGGTGTTTTGCAAAAAGAATGGCTAAAAGGACATTTAATTATTGAACTGGGCAATTCCCAGAAGAATGGCTGTAATATCGGCCTCTAAATAACAGCACACGGCATATTAGTAAATATATACATGGTATATATATATATTAGTAAATATATACACGGCATATTAGTAAAGTACAGTAGAAGTGCAGAAATCTGCAAAGCTTGGGACCAGAGTTGTCCAGATTTTAGGATTTTGACAGATTTCAAGATAGAAAAGATAAATCATAATATTCAGACTAATAGTGCAAGATAAAAAAGGGTTTAGATACATTTACTTAATTATTATATACATTAGCAATAACTTATTATATGCATTAAATTATTATTAATATATAAATTGATTATATTATTCATGTATATATACCAGCATCGAGGTTTTACCGATTCGCCTCACGCAAAGATTTTCGTGTTTATAATCACTGTTGCTGTAAATTTCAACAGCTTTCTTTATTTTTCGATGTCATCACAAATTCCATCGATTCTGCTATACCGAGGTACACCTGCCTCATCTTTTGCAGAATTTGCACTTTTTGCATAACCATCAATGCAACATATTTACGTTTTTGACCGTTGCAAGCAGTAAAATCATGAGTGATTTTTATCGGTAAGGTATTAAAGGGAGACTTTAAAATATTCTTATTATCCACAAATCCGGATAAAAAAAGCGCACTAAATACTCTCTGAAAGAACAAGCTAAAAACATACAACAAGTGAATCGGAACTTGAAAGAAGAGTGGTGTGAATCTATTTTTTTACTCGATGCAGATTCGAGGAAAACCTTTATCATGATGTAGAATTTAGTATTTCAGTAGGCTCATTATATTCGTAGGTTTTTTTTCGATATTTCGTACTCATGTTGTGTTTCCGGAACATATCTAATGTTTTTTTGAGAGGCAACGCGGATTTCAGGAGTTGGCGGATTTTTGGTATTTGACTGCATTACAATTAGTGCTGATATTTCAGTTTCATTTGCCTAACCTCTGCATACAATGCAACTCAATGTCTATAAAATATAATTTCAGTTCAAGAAATTATTAAATGGTAGAATTATAATCATTTAAGTTCTATAGCTTTTCTCAGTCAGGATATCTATACAATAATTTATGATGAAACTCAATAAAATATGAAAATAAAAGCACTATTTTTTTCACATACTTGAATCATTATTAAAAACAATTAAGAATACATGATCAAATTAAATGCACTATAATTACCTCATCAAATTTGTGAATCTGCCGAATGAAAAAATCTCCATATCTACTAGCCACTTTAGTGTCAGCAATATGGATCATATCCTACAAACACACAAAATTTTAGAAAGAAAACAAAAATGCAACCAATTAAAACAAGATAGCACTTTTTAACAAATGTTGATATAAAATAGCTTTCTATGGTGAGGAAATCAAACTTTCATTAAAAAAAAAAGGTTAATGAACATTAAAAAATAAATAAAAATTCACAAAACTCGCAGCATACTTTTAAGGCAAAGAATAGTTATTGTTTAATATTCAAACAGTGACCACAGTATAATTGAAAACTTTTTCTAAATATGAATACTGAATTGTTTCAGGCTATGATTTAAAACCACTGTCTAAATAAAGCTACAAAGAAAGAAAATCCATTTTGGTTAAGTGAAACTTTACCAAAATAGCTTTTACATGTTTCAGAATGAAAATCAATTGATGTTTATTTTTAAAAAACTGTAATACTTGTACAACCCTGAAATGTGGAGAGTTTCCGCGTAGCATGATGCCACCATTTCAAAAGAACTCCAAATTAACTTAAATTAGCAGTATAACACATGATTAAAATTACTCAATTACTTTTAACACAATTTCGATGTAAAATACATAAATATTTAATTAGATTTTCCAAATTTTACATTCTTTGATTAATTTCATTTTGCAATTGTCTAAAGCTTTTAAACTTGCCGACCAGATGGTATAGTGTTTAGGGGAGTCGACTGTGATACCAAAGTGCCTGGTTTCGAATCCCGGAGAAGGCATGGTTGTGAGTGTAAGTCCCTTCATGGTAGGCAAAGGCGGCCCACCTAAGTGCCGCCATAATAAAGTGACCACCATTTCTGGCCTTAGTAAGTGGCCCGGCCAAAGTCGGCTGACAGCCCACCACTGGTTGAAAAACAATAAGCTTTCAAACTAAAGAAATTCTGAGAGAGAAGGAAAGCTTTGATTTACCAAAATAGGTTTAAATACAATGGAAATAAAATTAAAAATTAATGCATATACTGTTGCATGAATAAATCTGATTATGTACCAATCTAAAACAGATAAATATTAATTGATTAAATATTAATTGAAGCTTTATATGAAGTTCTACAAATACCTACAATGAATTAAGACAATTCAAGCAAAATAAATCACGAAGGGTGGGTCTATTTATTTCTGAAGAGAAATAAAAACTTCACAAGTAAGGGCTAAAAATAAAAAATTAAGAGATCTGGTCATCTATTTAAAGATGTGACGATAAACCAGGGGAGCTGGCAGCAATGCCATGTGTCATAAATAAATAATGCATTAAAATTCAATTGAAAAAGTACATTGTCATACAAATAATTATTTACAATCAAAAAATATTTTTGAACCTTATTAGCATTTTAAATGATTTTAACAGATAACGTAAGTATGTGTATAAATACATACATGCATTTATGCGAGTGTGCGTGTTTGCACACACACACGAACTAGTACCTCAATATACATATTAAAAGCCATTCAAATCCTTTGTGGTATACCAAACTCTCTCTCAATATGAAATAAAGGGGAAATAATTAATTTGTTCTAATAAAACATTTCAATTGTTATTATTATAAATACTACTGAATAATACTAAAATACAAATATACTGGGTAAAATATAGTTCATAAATGGCGAAATGAATATGATCAGGGTCTAACAGGAAGACGAACCTATGACCTTTACGCCTCAAATTTCAACTAAATGTCTTACATGACGTCAACTAAATGTCTTATGTTAAAATCTCAGATATAAATGTCTGCATCTGTGGAACTGAAGGCTCCCCAGAACATTATATCTTCCACTGCTCTTAGATAGACTCAAATCATCTACACTTCCCAACCAACTACGACACAGCATAAAAAAATGTATAATACAAAAATTGTGTGGCAATTAATGATATCTGCAGAAGTATCTATATAATACAGCGATGGGGACAAGATATTTGTCAGCCAAGCTAAATTTAAGTATTGACTAAGTAATCATTTCAAATCTACTGAATGTTCTCAGCAGTAACAATGCTTACATAAGGTTAACATGACTAACTAATAAACTTATTTTTTTCCCCTTTTAAACTGTTAAAAACCTTAAATAATGAAATAACAACAGTGCAATATAGAATAACAGTGCTGTTATGACAAAGCAGCAATAAGCACCAATTTTTGTTTAATTTTCCCCCCTCCATGAGTACTTTTATATATTGTGTGTTATGTGTTTGTGTATTTTGCAAGTTATATATAGTTTACGCAGTATGTATTTAAACGTTGTACGCAGTACTATATGTTATGTTTTATAATTCGATGTGAATGCCGTTAATTCCACTCAGCACTATGAAGCTACTATTACCAATAGGTATGCAAGATCTTGTTCTTAAAATACATAAATTCCCAGGACATATCCTTAAAATACATAAACCCTCTTTAGTCTTCCCTGGGAGCTGCTGCTCTGGATTGGAGAGGGCGTGGGACATACACCTACTTATGTCCCACGCCCTCCAATCCAGAGCAGCTCCTTAAAAAAATAGTTTCATTAGTAGTCATGTAACCTTATGAAGCATTGTTACGCTGAGAACATTCGTAGATTTGAAATGATACTAGTCATACTTAAATTTAGCTGGCTGAAATATTGTCCCCATCGCTGTATTATATAGATACTCTGCAGATATCATTAATTGCCACCAAATTTTTTTATTATACTTTTTTTTTATGCTGTGTCGTAGTTGGTTGGGAAGTGTCGATGATGATTGAGTCTATAAAGCAGTGAAGATATATTCTGGACCTTCAGTTCCACAGATGCAGACATTTATATCTGAGATTCAACATAAGACATTTTGACGTTTTTAGGCGTAAGGTCATAGGTTCGTTCTGTTAGACCCTGATCATATTCATTTCGCCTTTATGAACTATATTTTACCCAGTATATTTGTATTTTAGTATTATTCAGTAGTATTTATAATAATAACAATTGAAATGTTTTATTAGAACAAATTAATTATTTCCCCTTTATGTTAGACATCAGGTGTCCCCACCCTCCATCACCAGTCACCACCAGCATGATCTAATCTAATCTCTAATCTTTGTTTGGTAATTAGTTTCATCCTTTTCATTACGTTAGCTGACTTAATAGCACCTTTGTTTTTCAAAATAGAGACACTACCATACCTGGCATAGAGTATGCAATAGTTAAGTCTCAGAAATACATATCACCTCGATATTTTTCAATTTTTTTTATGTTTGTTACAATCACCAAGCCTGATTTTACCAATTTTCATTTCTTCTTCTCATTAATTTTCTTAAAACACATTTTTAATGAATTTAAAACAAATTTAAATCACTCGAAAACTCAAGAGTTATAGCAGAGGTTGTTTATTGAATAGTAGTAACAGGCATACTGACACTCACGGACAGCTCACGGGTAGCTTTGTCTTAAAAGAGATAAACAAGTACAGTAAGACCCCGCTTAACACAGTTTCGGCTTAGCGCTCTTTTATTTCAACCCAGGAATTCCCCGAAATTGTGCGCGGCGCTAGGTTTCCAAATAGCATATCCGAAACAGTGTAGTTGTGTTTCTTGTTTGGTGTGGTCCTGTACAGATGCATTTTTATCATTTGAAACATTTGTTGACATTATTGTAAGTATAAATTTGTATAATACTATAACGATTAATACAGTGACAAATATTATGATCTTTAGTTTTTATCATGGGTGACAATAAAAAACAAGAAAAGAAAGCAACCAGAAAAAGCACTTCACTAGAAACTAAAATGCAAGTGATTAGAAGATTAGATTCTGGTGAACGTCATCTGAAATTAGTGCTGCACTGAATTTGGCAACTTCAACAATAAGGACAATTCTTAAAAATAAAGAAAACAAGTCATCGGCACTGCAACTACGACAAGCTCTGCAACTAGAATTACCCGTTCTAGAAATAACATTATAGAGGAAATGGAAAACGACTGTCTACATGGATGATGACGAATGAACACAATATGCCATTAAGCCAATCTATCATAATGCCTTCTTGAGAAAAGGCAGAAATTGGAAAACAGAATACACTGAATGATCTGACTGATGAAATTTTAATTGTTTTTATAGTATATTCGTTTATATTGTTTTTATTTTTGTAAGAAATATGTTTGGTTTTATTTTTATTAAAAAAACCATTATTAAATTTAATACCTAACCAATTTTCTATCCATCTTCCCCTAACCCCATTATTTACATGTTAAGATAGCTTCGTTTAGTGCTGTTTCGCATTATGCTCTACTTTGATGGAACGTATCCCACGTCTCAGAAACACATACCACCTCAATATTTTTACAATTTGTTTGACTTGTGAATTCGTACCCCCCGTCTTAAGCGGGGTCTTACTGTATAGTATTTGCAGTTATGAAGTTTGAGTTATATTCCAAAAAAATATTGCATACCAAATAAAAGTTTTTGCATTCAAACAGGACATATACCGAGTTGGGTACATTTGAAAGCGAACAAACATTACATTTGAAAGCGAAGTACCACTTTATATATAATCATTCAGTTTCCTTGTAAAGCTTCTTCACATAGAAAAGAAACTTGGGCACTACAATTCTTAAAATTCATTTTCTGTCTTTTGAATAGTTATCAGCTTTATCACCAACATAATTAAAAACAGAAATACATTGAGCAAAAATTTCTTACTTTATCAATATAAAAATCAACTTCAGAGCCGGACTGAAATTCTCCCTCCAGGCCGCTTGTGCCTTTAATCCAAACCATATTTTTCATTTTGTGCTAAAAGGAGGAAAAAGAAAATCACATGATTAAAACAAATTTTATTTTAAAAAATGGAGGGAAGAGACCTATTACAAAATGCAGTTTTTAATAATTCTTTATGTTTTATGACATATACCAGATCTAATTTGACAACATAAAAATATAATTTTGTAGAGATCCAAATATTAAAATCAAGTGGAATCATCTTTCAGAAGATCTAGATCAGCCGTACTCCGCCTGCAGGCCATATGTTACTTCTTGAATTTTTTAAGTTTCTGGGTAGATAAAAAATTACAAGTGAATTAGCAACCTGCAGTTTCTTGGAAGTCCTGACTTCCATATTATTCGAGCATTAATTTTATTAGCAACAACAAAGAAAGTCATTTCAACTGAAAATTGGAACCTGTGAAACAAAGCTGAAAACATACACAGTCCCAACCATAATTGCAGCACAGAAACAGAACGGATTTTAAAGTGAGCACTATCTTTAATAAATAACATTTTATATCATAAAAATACTGAATTTTAAATTAAAAAAATATTTGCATAAAAGTTTTTAATGTACAAGAGGACTGCAAAACTTCACACACATACCATCAGTATATTTGCGACTAGCAGATTTTGCATTTCAATATCATAAATGTTATTACATTATAATTTTGGCTTCCAATGACTAGAAATTTAAAACACTAATTTTGTTTACACTGAAGGTACTTCATAGAAAAGAATTCTTATAAAAACGTTACATTTTTTACCTGCAGTAAGTCTGTCTGTACAGATTCTTACACAATAAAAAAAAAATAAATAAATAAATAAAATAAAATAAAATAAATAATTCTAATAAATTTGAGTAAATCAGTGTACTTTATGCTAAAATTTGAGTAAATCAATGTACTGTAAATTTTGCTACCTACACATAAAAAATAATCACCTAAATTTATATCAAAATATCAAAAATAATGAAGAGTGTGAAACAAAATAAAAGCCATTATATATTTTCAACTGTGCTACAGGTCAAAAATAAAATTACCAGATAATACACAGAAATTTATAAACATACCTTGAAGCAAAGAAGATAATTCACTACACCTTCTTTCTAAATGGTTTAAAAAATTAAAAATATAATTAAAAAGTTTGCCATTTAAATGCACAGGAGATATTGATACATTCTGTATTATCTTTTAATCACACAGCAAGATATTAAAATACACCTATTTTAAAAATTTAAATAAACCAATTACCATATCCAGAAATGTAGCAAGTTTTGCTATGGGCATTGTAGTATATAACTTTAAGTAACTAGAAGGAAAAAAAAAATTAAGAAAGAAACTCTAGTTTGATATCTGCAGAATATTAGTTTAATCAAAAATTACTTTTCATAATTACCTTCTGATTGTTGGGAGCATAAGTTGCTGCTTAATTTCATCCATGAATACTTTTAACTGAGCAACAAATGGTTCCTGAAATGCAAAAATAGTACATTAGAGAATGCACATATAGATATATAAAGGTTACCTATGTTAATAATTTAATAGAAAATGATTATTACCTTATTGTAATACCAAATGATAAGAATTTGGTGTAGCTACATACAAGTAACTACTTGGTCTGAAAATTTAATAAGCCTGCTTTTTTGATTGGCCAAGTAATGAGAGAAAGATTGGCAGATAGTTTTTTGTTCAAGATAAATGCATTGTCGTTAAAACTGTACAACAGTTTGTTGTAGAAAATGTAGTATGGTTCCAAATACCAACACTAAATGGAACTAAAACCTATTTACATAGTTGAAAAATCTGGTTTGAATATGTTTCTGTAGGCCAGATATGTATTAATTGTAAATGTTATGCTAGTAACAGAATTTTACTCTTCAGTTTAGTTCAGTTCTTTTTTAACAAAGATTTAATTTAAAAAATATATTTTCTTTCTATAAGACAAAATAAAACACACTTTTTTGAGCAAAAACTAAGAATTATCTTTTATCTTCTAGGAAAATGATTATGCGGCACAAGAACACAAAATCCTACTCTTATTTTTGCTGCAATAAAATTAAATAGGAAATTATTTTTTTATTTGAATAAAAAAATAATCCACTTCTGTTCTATAATAATTAAATTTAGATTAAAAATATAATAGACATTAGATCTATTTGTTTTCTTGTAAATCTCCATTTAGCAGCCAAATTTACGCAGAGCATCATAGTGCTAACCTTGAAACATGAAAAAGTAAGAGTTTCCAGAAGGCTCAAAAGGACTCCAAATTTACGTAAATTCAATTTATAATGCACGACTCAGATTACTGAACTACTTCTAAAATGATTTTGATGTAAAATACATTAATATTAATTAGATGTTTTGTATTTTTTTATTCTTGGGCTAATTTCATCATTTTGTATGTTTCTTATAATTTATACTGAGAAAATCCTGAGTAGAGAAAGACAGCTTTCAAGTACTTTTAAATATGATAAAAATTAACTTAATAGTTACAGTATACAGTTGTGCGGATAAACTCAGTAATGTCCCATATATTCATGTAGAATAAAATAAAATACAAATATTACCAGACTAAACACTGATTGAATCTGCATAAAATTTCTACAAATGTATATCAAGAAATTTAAATTGAGTAAAATTTAACAAGAAAAATTATACCAAAAATCACTAGGCATAAAGGAATGGAATTTTCTCAAATAAAGTTTCATTATTTAAATAAATTTCATCAATTTCTGAGAAATATTTTCCTAATTAAAGACAGATCCGAAGATGTGATGAAAGCAGATCATAATCAACACATGATTGTTCTTCCATTAACGTTTGACAGATTACACATTAGTCAAACATTGTGCATCTCGGCATAAAAACGTATAAATTAGAAAAATAATTACAATTTGAAAACTTCAGACTACAGAAACTAACACAAAGAGTTTACAATAAAGTTGCAGAAAATTAAATATGGCAAAAAATTTTAAATATTAAAATCATAAGAATGAAAACTTCTATTTATCACCAGAAACAGCTTTTAGTTAAGCAGTTATGACAGACCCACTACTCTAAGACTGTTCCCCCTACACCAAAGATATAAAATATAAATATCTTATATTTCAAATAAGTTATTCAAAATTGCAGAACCAAAAAAAATGTTATGATGTTACTTCATACAAATTAATATCACATGGCGACTTAGCACTTATTAAATAAAGACTTAATTACTCAAGACATAGTTATGCATTTATTTCACAGGATCACTTGCAACCACTCAAAATATCAACATTTCTTTATTTTAACTGAATATCAAATCTACTCAGTCAAACAAGTTGATAAATTTTAAATAAGCTTAATTTTATTTGATCTGGGCGGGATTGATGATTCAGGCAACTGCTATTCTGTATTGAAATGAAGAAGATATTATAAAGCTTATTTCTTTTCTATCCCTGCACTCTTTTTCCACAGATTCCAAGTTTCTTAAAGAGGCAATAAGTGTGAACTTGAGCAAAACCTGAGACTTCTGTTCGCAGGCATGAAAGTTATGAAGTCTATTCCAAAAGTTCATAAACCGACAATACTACACTAATTCTATGATTATCACTTGACTATCTGAAAGATAGATGGTAGCATACTATAAAGCTGTAGTGAGCATTACAGTAGTAAGAAAGATACATTAATGACTGCCCCGTAAACAATCTGAGTTGAAGCTATTGAATTTTGCATTAAGTTATGCAACAATGCCCAGGAAGCATTTGAGATGATAAAACCAATGCATGGTGAAGAAGAAAATGCTAAACTGACTATATTCAAGTGCCAGAAGCATCTTGAAGAAGGTAAACACATTGTTCAGGACGATCCAAAAGATGGGCATCTATCCATATCTGAGAGCAATGAGAACACTAGGAAAGCAGAGACACCATTGAAAGAAAAGCGATATTAACCTGTTCAGAATTATTAGGTAAACTCGGTACTTTGTTATCTAGCTGAAAGCAATCTGGATTGAATTTTAATTTTGAACAATCGCTGCAGTATTAAGAGGGAAATAGAAGAATAAACTTAAAAAATGGAGAAGCAATGTTTACACAACTGGACAATAATAATAATTAAAAAACGCTATAAGTTTTTACATATGTAATTCTTACATATTGCTGAGTATAAAAAAAATTTATGTTATTAGACCAGAAATACTAAGTTAATCATGCGAGACCTGTCTGTCTTAAAAAAAGACCTTATCTGAAAATTTCTGTATTTTTTTAAAGATAAATACAAATGAAACTTTCTTTGAACTACATTACTTATTAATTTTACCATTTTATCATCTCTTAGGCAGCTGGAAAATTTCTTTTTTTAAAAAGTGAGTATGTTCATTCATAAAAAAGTTATTCGCAGGCTGCATGACAGTTCCAAAGAAGTTAACTTTAAGCCATTCAGAGAATTCTGCAGTGACTTGAAAAAATGAATATCCAAGAAAGCAAGGTCCGGTGAATATTGGGGGGACACTAAAGCACCCCACTAACTGAAATTGTAGAATCTTAAGATATTAAGATTATGATTTTCATGAAATAACATTAGCTCTGAATGAGGTGAGAATAATATTTATAGCACAATAAAAATGAAAATATCCTGCTTTATCACATCTACTTCAGAGCTAAATTCTTTACTTTTTTAAAATTAAAAATAACTAATTCTAGCTATTTTTTTTTAAATTGAAGAAAATTTATTATTCCTATTCAGTGCAATTATTTAAAAGCAGTCAACTTGTGAACAACAAAAGCTTCTGTTAATTATAAATAATACATCTTTTCAATTTTTAATCAATTTACTTTTTCAAAAGAAACTTAAGTCTAGACAAATCTAACACTTTAATTCTCTTCATATTAGTGAAATCTAAAAATGTGCCTGAACATATGATATATAAATGTTTAAAATTAATACAGTGGTATTACTTTCAATGAAATGTTCATTTCTTACAGAAAAAATAAATAAATAAATTTTAGCTTCTTACTGAATTTAAAATGTATCAAAATATGGTTTCAGCAAGATGTTCTGTTTAAAAATATCTAAGTTATAAAAAAATTAATTTTGCATCTAGTAATAATAATACTAATTTAGACATATTTTTAAAAGCTTTGTTCCCTTATATTTTCCTCCATAACATAATGCGAAACAGTGCATTTTATAGCACACATTATGCCACAGAAGAATACTTTGACATTAATTTTAAAAAAAATAATAAATGAAAGTACATGTAGATGCAATAGAACAGAAATATTTTACCTTATGAGAAGCAGGATTTTCAATATTGATTTTCTCAAGATTTGGCGGAACTGGAGAGACAAACTTGGGACAGGCAAACGAAAAGCAGGCTTCAAATTCAGCTAAGTCTCTGTAATAAAAACAAAATCTAATTAAAGAAAGCTAAACACAGAGGAGATAAAAATGTACATAACCTTTAACTTCTAGTTACCCTCTTTGCATTCGTAATAACTTGTCACCATAGTTTTCTTTTAAAGTCGATAAAACACTCTCATCAATGCGTTGGGGATGTAAAACAAGGCATATTGCTAACAAGGTATACATTCTTTCTGTTTGTTTGTTCATCTGGCAAAAAGGAAGGGGGAATCAGCATTAACTTATATCACTAAATATTGCCTACATTTAAACGTCAATAGCAAAAATATTTACATAGTTAATAGAGGTCCTTACGTATTATCCTGTTGATTAAGAAACTGTCGCCAAGTAGTGCAATTTAGTGCCAGTTACAGATAAGCATGATGTAACTTCAATAGATTCTCAATAAATATTTTCCCCCCTGAATAAATTTATAAATTAAGTGCAATAGTTAATCCATTCTTTTTCATGTTGGGGGAAAATTTTTTTTCAAAATTTGGGATCTACAAAACAACAAATACAGGATTATTTTTAAAGTTATGTAATCCTACTAAAAAAAAAAAAAAAGAGTGAATTAATGAACACGATATGACTAACTGAATATGGCTGACAGAATAGTAACAGAATAGAACCATTAGCAACAGGAAGTTTGAATTCAAAGTGTTCTAAACATAGCTTCTTTTAAAATCAAAGGTCCTAACAAAACAGTAGAAATCGATGAAAGCTTATTTTGAACCAGGTTGAGTACTGATTGTTTATTAAAGAGGTGTCAGTTCCTTTAGAATTTAGCAGGACTTATTGCTGCAACTTTGACAAGATCTCCACAAATATCCATGGTTTGGTGGCAGCCAACTTTCTCAGTCAACAGGATAATATGTATGTACCATTACAGATTTTTTTTAAAAATTCACAATTACAGAAGTTTTAAAATTTCATGTATATATATATCTATAGCAGAAAAAGCTACAATTTTAAAGAAGGTTTAAAGATAAAAATTTATTGAACATCAGAGTCCAATCTACATACTATATGCAATCATCTAAATTAAAGTTTAATTCATAGCTTCTTAATACTACCGTGCCATCTTTTTTATGGTATTTACATCAACTGTCTTGGACTGTGCCATCTTTCTTTTTCTTTTTTTTTATACCACTGAACATCAATAGGATGATTACAATTATGGAAAGAAATGAGTAACTATGGTTTGTTATTTGAAAATAGGAACTTCAGTGTCATTTTTTGCCGCTCGGTTGCCTTGCAACTATGGTATCAAGAGCTGCCACAGATGGGATGGTTTGAGTCCTTTACTCCCCGCACTTCTTTTCCATTTAGTATGTTTTACTTTATGAAAAGCCCATGAACGACCTGACTGACAGTCTAAAATGAGGTAGAGAAAAGTGTTGTGCGGCGAAGATCATAAGAAAAGGAGGCTGACAACAGTCCTGAAGTCCCTTTTTAAAGAAATAGACTACAGTTTAAATTCACTCAAAAAGAAAAAAAGAAGAAACTTAACACTTTCGCTGCCGATCATGTGATTATAGGTTATATTGATAGTTAATGCTGTCATAGAAATAGATTGTACCCATATGCCGACTTACTTATTATAAGAAATATGATTTAAAAGAGATAATAAAAGATTATTACATGTACCCTATTGATTACTTAGCCTTTAAACATCAAATTTTATAACTACGTGCCAGTGTGTGATCGGCAATAGAGGAAAAATTACTTCTGCAATTATGCATTACATGCTGTCACATGGCATTTAAAGTGAATCAAAATAAGTAACAATATGCATTATTTTAGTGTGAAACTATATCACAACATATATATATATAATATATATAAGATAGTTACAATGATATTATTGCAAAGTATATATTTCAGAATGTTATTCGTGTATGATCTTTACGCAGAATGAAACTTGTTTCCAGTCCAAACCACATATATTTACATGCCAATACCAACATATATATTCAAAACGAAATGCCAATTGAATGAAAATCAACAATGAGACATTGCTTTCCCCACATCAGCACGTGACTGGCACCTGAGACATCTAGCACACCACACTATGCACAAGAGCATAATTGGCTCTTCAGCAATGATGCCAGTCACGCGCCAGTGCGTGATAGGAAGCGAACGTGTTAAGCAATAAAATTTTACCATATTCTCTTACTTTCAACACAATAACAGAGGTCTTGTTGACTGCAACATTTAAGACCATAAAATAATCTTAAATGTTGCAGTACATTTAAGGCCTTAAATGTACTGCAACATTTAAGGTCTTAAATGTACTGCAACTTTTTAGGGTGGTATAATGTGAGGGTCTATTTAAGACCCTCACATTATACCACCATTAAAAACTTAAATCTGAATAAATTCTGAAAATCATCTTACCATTTAGTAAAAATCTAAACTGAAAGAAAATGAATATCAAGAAAATAAAAAAATTATAATGCTCATTTGTACCTGATCAGCTTGGTAAGTCCTCTGTTGAAAGAGATTACGCTGTGTTCGTTGAATGTACAGAAGAATGTTGGAGAATGAACGAATGGCATCTGCATAACGTCTCATCATGAGGTATGAGAATCCAACATAATAGTATGTAGTGATCTGACAAGCTGGAACTCGGGAATACAAACTCTAATGATGGGGAAAATAATGATTAATGATAAGAAATATTTAAATTAAAATATACATTAAGAGTGGTCTTAAACATAGAAATAAAAAAATATACATTTTTTTATCTAACAAATTATGTATTTTTAAGTTAAAATTTTCAAATTTAAGAGAAAAGGGTAAGTCAATATAAAGAATTACAACTCATATTTGGCACATACTGATATTTTGTACACTTTAATACTTTCTACACTTATAATTTAACATTATGAAATGTAACCCCCTTTTTTTAATCTTTCACAAGCTAAACCCAAACAATTTCTCTTTCTTTCTTTTATTTTTCTTGTCTCTAGAAAATTGCAGAAATGTAGTTACTTCAAAATTATTCTATCTTTCACAAATATCACTTTTACTTTCACTAGGTTGCCCCCACTTTCCAACTGTTACTTTTATCAACAGAAACAACCGTTCAAAAATAAAAGCATTTTGAAATTTTAGAATGCACAAGGAAAACTGATTTTTTTGAAAGCATAGAATACAGTCATATAAAATAAAGTACCATTTAAATTTCTTTCATGCCACTATTCAGAAATGGTACATAAATAAAATCTAAGGTTGAGGTGTATGTACAACATATTTTAGTTTCAGAATCTTTAAGCTACTGCTATTACACAAATTTAATTTTGTTACTCTACTTTTAGTTTCTTGCTTAAAAAAGCTAACAATATTTTAAATGATTAAAAAAATAGTGCATTTTAAATTTTAAGAATTCAAATGGTTAAATATTTAACATAAAAAAGAATGATCACACTTTTTTTCATGTGCCTTATCCTGAATTAAAAACAAAATTAAGAAAAATGCTAACAGATGTGCAACATTTACTAAAAAAATGTTAATTTTTTTGGTGTCCTTATAAAATGTCACAGAGTTCTTCTTTCACCCAAACAAAAAGAAAAGCAATTTTTTTTTTTTTTTTTTTTTTTTTTTTTTTGAACTTGAGACCCAAATTCTGTATCATTTTGTACTAAGTGCTAAATCTTACAAGGCATGGATACAAGGCAGTTTCCCTTAGAAAGTCCTGCATGGGCATCATTCCTTTCCATGTAGTTCCTAAAGGTGCAGCAGGTAATAAATAAATAGTATTCCTGAAAGAACTTCTTAATATTACTAAAGAAGGAGCATACACTCTTGATCAAGGAGTGGAATGCAGATGAAATTAGTATTTCCTGGACACATATGCCAAAGAGAATGTATGTAGCCAAATTGAAGAAAACTGCTGGTGGTTCTAAGGCAACTTATTTTGCTTCAATACTTCAGGAGATCGTATGTTGAAGCCACTGCTGGTAAACTAGGCCCTAAACCAACACTCAATGAAAAATTAGATACCAATAAATTGTCTATTCACTGGAAGGGAAGACAAGAAGGCCTGGGTGATCATTACTGTCTTTACAGAATGGATCAACAAAGGATTTATCCCAGAAGTCAGATATTTATTACAATTGATAGACCAATTGCAACATTTAAGATATACTACATAAAACAAACACTTCAACAAATTTTGGACAAAATAATAAAACACTAATATAGTGTTCTCAAACTTTTTTGTCCCATGCACCTTTCACTATTGATACATGATCATTTCTCCCCTTTCCAAACATCGAAAAATACATATACTTTCATATAAATTGAGATTATTTTTAATGCATAAATTAAACAAGAAAAAGTATAAAAAATACTGTAAACACTAAAACTTAAATAATTTTTGTATGTTCTTAAAGTAAAACTAAATACTTAGCAAGTTAATAAAAGGCTAACCATATTTCCCCTTATTTAATCACTAGCGGAAGTACTCGATGCCAGCTAAGTTAGATAGAGATTAATGTATCTAACAACAGAGAGCGATATTACTATCTCCTTCTCTAATTACTGATCTTTGATGTAACAAAATTGGGTGAGTGTGTTTTCTTCTGGTATGAGTTATTTTTACTAAAAGAAGACAATTCACTTTAATGCATTTTTATTGTAAAGCTGTGTCATATACAATATTTTGAGTTTTACTGTCAGGAGCAAAAATGTAAAAATTCTTATTAAAAAATGCCAAAGAAACAAAGTAATATTCAATACTAGCAGCTTCGTTGCCAGCCTTCGTCTGGCTTTTAACTGTACTGGAAAAATGGCTGAAGGGAACACCAAATGTTACATTTACAAACTGCGTAGAATTTTACTCTGCAGAAAAACTTCATAAAAAAAGTTATTACGTATAACAAAATTACAATGAAATAAGCAATATCCTTTAATACAAATATTAATTATCCTAATAAATAAATTAACCAACTTATTTTTGCAAAATCGTAAGAACTCAAATGGTATAAAGGAGGTTAAGAACTTTGTTTCCTAAAAAAATCACTCAAAACTTTTCAATATCTTAAAAACAGTGAAATGAGCAATAAATAACATAAAAGAATACAAAAAACAAAAAATTATGAAAAGCAAAGTTATAATTAATGATATTTTATCTTATATTTTCAAGAGAAAAAAAACAATGAAATAAGCTATATCCCTTAATACAAATATTAATTATCCTAATAAAAAATTAACCAACTTTCCGTTGAAGAAAAAAAAATCATGCAAAACTTTTCAATTATCTTCAACAAACAAACAATAAAATGAAAGCAACTCAAAAAACATAAAATCCCGCGCAAATTTTACTCTGCAGAACAACTTAAACAAAACAAAAAAATAAATAAATAAAAATTTATTATATACATATATATATATATATATATATGACAATGAAATATGCCAATCTCTTAAAAACAGTTACATAAGAAATACGATGAAAAATTGTTGCCAAACCTGTATTTCTAAAAGAATGAAACTATTCAAAATGATGCGATTTCATACAAAATCTATCAACAACAATGAGAAAGGAAAATTGTTGCCAAAACCACATTTTTAAAGATGTGAGATGTGAGAAGTGTACTCGGAAGCTTCATTAAAAAAATTGTTTAAAAATACAAAATATTATCATTTTTCCAAAATTCTTTTTGTAAAAGCAGTCGCAAGGATGAAAGTTTAACGTGTCCAAAAATCAAAGAAAAATAAACTGTACATTTTTAAAAATAAACTTTTTTAGAAAAATCCCATTGAAAAGGTGTTAAGCTCACTTTGTTAAATAAATTTGTATTAATCGATTTATTGAAACACGAAATTTATTTTAAGTTCGTAAAATAGCTAAGTGCCTACGTTTCCTGACGATGTGAAAATGGAGTGTGTAGAGTAAAATCTCGCTTTCCTATAGCCCATTATGTCTCAAAATGATGCGATTTCATCACAAAACATAAAATTAAAAAAAAATTCTAATTCGAATGTCGAAAAAATCGCTTCGATGTGCACTGGCTCTTGTCTATATGCACCAATGTACCAAATTTCGTAGCCATGGGTCTATTAGCTTACGCGCAGCACGAATGAAAGACACACACAGACAGACTCTTTATTTTATTATATGTAGAGACAAGTAACACAACTGACTACGTAATCAGAGAATCATATGGTATATATATATATATCCACATAACATATGGAATAGTCATTCGTAGCAAAAATAAAAGGAAACACATTATTATTTTGGGCAAAAAATATGATTCATAATCATATATTTTTCAATCTGATGCGATATGGAACCCACATAAAAAAAATTTGATAAAAAAATAAACTAATTCTCTCTCACTATATAAGCAACAATGGCATGCAGTTTTTAATGAATTTGTCTTTCAAATCAAATGGTCATAAAAGCTCTCATTTAACCTATATTCAATTTTAGTTGATTAAATGCGGCAAAAAATTTACCATAATTGATCAGAAATCAGTAATGCAAATAAACAGACATCCTTCTTTATATAGAGGGATTTTGTAAAACTTACAAATTTTTGATTAACAAACTCTATGATTTGAAAGCGAACAGTAGCAACACTTTTCAAAATAAAGCACCCGAGATTGTTGCCACTCGGAAAATTGAGTGCAAAAATTAATATTTTCAGAGTGTTTAATTAATATCTCGGCTGCTTAAAGTCGTATGAAGATGCAACAATTGAAATTGCTTCCCACGAATTTTTGGAATCAGGAATAATGTATTTAATGTTTGGCAATGCTATTTTTATTTCATTGTAAAACTTGGAAATTTTTTATTAACAAACTCTATAACTTGAAACTGAGCAGTGGCAACACTTCTTGGAATAAAACAGATTTTTATCTCCAGCGTGCGAGACCGTTGCCACTAAAAAAAAATGAGCATTTTCTGAGTTTTTAATTAATATATTTTATTTGATCTTTTTTGTAAGAAAAAAGTGGACATCAACCTTTTCCAGGGCCTAGAAAAGAACTGTAGAAGTTTGGTGATGATAGCTATAGTAGTGACTTAATGTATGGCTAATAAACATACACACAAACATTCTTCTTCATATATAAAGATAATTATTATAGTGATGCTTTAGTAAAAATAAATTTAAAAAAAACCTTTTTGTTCAGCTCTATATTTTCAAGTACTTTAATAGCTTGATAGTAATCTCCAAGAAGGGAGTGTAAGCGCAAAAGAGCAACTAAACTGAAATAGCCAAGCATTTTGTACAGAGGATGGCGTCCAAATTCACCAGCTACACTATCTGGATCACCTGTAAGGTAAAAGTTCATAAATTGTTAAATAATGATTTTTTAAATACATTTATCACACCTTCACATACATTACCATATCGATCAACAAATAATTTAACTGTAATTAATAATTAACAATAATCACTTCAGGGGAAAAAACAATTCTTACTATGAAAAGGTTTACACTGAAAATACAGAAGGCAAAAAAGCTAAAGATGAAAGAAAATGCAAAATTATGTCTTAGACATTAGCTGCTGATTTTAAGAAAAGAAAAGAAAAAAAAAAAAAAAAAATGCTGGTGATATTTTGACAAATTCCATTAGTTGCATTAAATGAAATCTCAAATCATTTAAAAAAAATAAAATGAATTATTATAAATCATAACTATATAATACTAATTTTTGAGTTATGTTATAATCAAGTGACAGCATTTACAATTTTAATATTTAACTGTAAGAAGAATTTATAAATTTATCCTTTTCTTCAAACCTAACCTTCATGATATAGTTACTGGGTAGCACTACTTTTAAATTAATATGCTAATCACAATCTGTCGGACACCATAGTTGATAGCTAGACTTCCCCAGCACATTTCTAGTAACACCAATGACTTCTTCAGGATTTTAACCCAAACCAATGACATATCATCTATCCTTCCTAGGGCAGCATTTATATAATTAAAGAAATATTAGACTGATTAAAGATTAAGAGATTTTTTTACTTTGTTCAATAATGAAATATACTTATGTTCTGAATCGTGTTAAATAGTTACTGTAACTATTGAAAACAGCATCAAATTGTATTTTATTTTTATAATTTTTCTCCATGTTTATTGCTTCTAAGCAAAAGTTAACCAAATTTTAATTGTTAGGAAACTTAAACCTTCAATGAAAACCAATAATGATAGTATGAAGAAATATTTTCCCCTTTACAATGAATGATAATTGTAAAAATTTGTGCAAATGAGATTCTATTTTAAAGCCCTTGTTATCAATCCTAATACATAAAAAATAAGCTGGCTTAGCAAAATAAATTAGTTAACGAGTAATAATCATTTTTTCTTCATTTTCCTTGAATAACTCCACAAAGATGACAAAAGTTTGGCTAAAAGAATCTGATAAACAAAAGTCATTCCAGTGAAAAAGAAATACAAATTCAAGAAATAAAAATGAGGTTAAGCTGCAGCTTACCGAAAAAAAAAATCTGGGTTAGTAATTGAAGAAAAAAGTACAGTTAAGAACTTAATTAAAAATTTTACTTAATGAATTAATTACTGGTTATAATTTAAAAAATAATTTTTAGAAATAGGTACATGCAAGTAATGAAAAAGTGGTACTTATGTATTAGTGCAATTATGTTGCTGCAGTTCGGCGATTTTTTACAGAAGAAAAAGGTGATTGTTTGTGAAAGATCAAGAGAAAGAAGGAGGGTCTGTCTGGATGAGGATTTTGCCATTCTAAAAATTAAGAAGCAGAGGTCAATTGCTGGAAGAAGGGTGAAATGGAAAAGGCTTCTGAAGAAGGTCAGGGCTTACAAGCGGCTGCCGTGCCATTCCTGCTGCTGCTGCTGATAATGATGATGAAAAAGGTGATTCGGGGAAATTTTGGATTGCAACTTACATTGGATATGCTTATCTAAAGAACTGTTATGTGCATGGTTGCCAGAGATTGGTTGGTGGCTTCTACTAAGGTGGTTGCGATAATATCTAAGTACCAAAAAGTTATTTGCACAGCAGATAAAATTATTCCAAAATGACTAGAATATTTTCTTTTAAACAAACATTAACTTTTTGGGGGAGAAAGGAGGGAGGATTAAACTTGTTTGACTATATTTGGCAGACTATTCTTTGGCATGTTTACAAAAGCAAACTTACTTTTAATCTGTCTTGTGAAATTTCAAATACAACAGAGAACAATCTGGCAGTTCAAATGTTCAATACTAGTTCAATATTTAAAAATAAAAAAAACAAAAGCAATGCTTTGGAGCAGATGAAAAAATAACTAGATTATATTCTTCAAAATGTAGTTCCCTAGAATCATATATAATACTTTTGGGAAGAACAAGGATAACAGAATTCAGATTTTAACACTGCTTCCAATCTTGTTGAAACTTATTAGGTAAATAGTTTTGCTGTAAAGAAAAATAATCAAAAATATTGAGCTCAAGGGACACTGTAAGAAGGACTTTCAAATACTGATAGATGATATGAAGTAAATTATATGGATAAATAACTGTGATATTTTTTTACTTTGAAAAAGTGATGTAATAAACCGAATGATGCACTGACAAAATAATGGCTAAAAGAGATTCAAATTTCCTGTTTTTACTAACCAAAAAAATTATTTCTTTAAATGGTACAGGACTCTTATCCATAGATATTATATTCCACGATCTGCTGCAGGTAAGTACAAATGAGTACAATACATAACATTATGTATAATGTGAAATATCTAAACACAGTGAAGTTAATTGATAAACTGTGCCAAATAAAATACTGTTGGCAGTAAATATGTTACATATTTGCAGTACATTTTGCTCTCTTTTAAATATGAAAATAAAGAATTCTGATGTCTTATCCTTAATATCATAAATATCATAAAGTAGTAAAAACGCACTGTTGCTTTACTGATTAATAATTTGCAGTTTCAATGAATAACATAATAATAAAAATCATGCTTTTTTTATCAATGCATAGCATTAGTAAAGAAACACTCCTGAAGTACATGTGCACTTGTACTGACAGTCAGGATTGCTCTGAAAAGACAGCATTGACACATTTATGCTGCTTTATTAACCAAGCTGCATCTCTGGCACCTGTTTTTAAAATTATAAACCATTTATTTGTGTAATTAAAAAAATGTACATTGATAAACTGGAAACAACAGAAATTAGGGCATGGAGACATCACTACACATATAAAAATACTTACTATTTCAGATATGTTTTCAGCTTGGAATTAAGAGTGATATGATTTCCATTTTGTTTTTGTTCGTGACAGAAAGTAAGTGATCTGAATACTCGTATATCATATTGTATATCATGCCAGTGAAAAATAATCATTAATGCTATAAAATACTTACCACCATTAGTGTATACTTCTAATTGCCTATTGATATTTGATTTGTCCACCATAGAATGAAGAACATTAAGCACACTATGCACATTCCACGTCTAAGAAAATTAAAAATCTTAAATTTAGACTTCATAATAAGCTTATGACAATTACCTTCTTCAAACAGTACAATTTTTTTTTTTTTTTTTTTTTGAAAAGGAATTTCATGATGAAAAATTTTTTAGATTGGAAGAGCCATATATTAAAACAATTATCATAATAAAATTCATCTATGTCAGCAAATTAACAATATACATCTCATAAAATACTTTAATAAAAAAAGTCAAAGCAAATAATTTAAAAACTGTACTATTTTATACATAACACACTACAGAAAGAAGTAATGAGAGTTGAATTTTTAACAAAAGTGAAACACATTCAAAAGTTCATAACTTCATATTTTCAGTTAAATGATATAAAGATTAAAAAAATAGCATAATGTTACTAACTTGGCACAAGACATAAAATTACCATTCTACACCTACGGAATATAGAGTAGTTTAATTTCTAGTACATTAAAGGCTCTTTATCTTCCTTACTATTGCTGCTTTCACCATTTGCTACTCTTATAAGAGCATCCAGTTCATCTTTTTTCATTTTATGATCATCTCAAATAATTCTTTGACTTCTCCTTCTTCCATACCTGAAAATATTTTGCTGCCTATTGCTTTTGCAATTTGTATGATTTTATTGATTTCATTTTCATCTAACGTAAATCCTTTAAAACTGTTGGCAACTTCTGAAAAGAGTTGATGGCAGCAAGCACATATTGTTGATGACTTCACTTGTTCCCATGAAAGTTATGCAGTGCATCTTTATGCAGTGTCTTATGAATGGAAATCAAAATGCCTTTAATGTGTCATGCTTTTCTTTGTCTAGTGTTTCATTTGCAGAGATGTAAACATGTACACAGTGCATGTGATTTTTCCTGAAGAAACAGATGGCTTTGCTTTTTTGGGTTATGGGGAACCAGTATGCTGACATCCTAAGGACTGCTATTTCATGTCAGAAGTCTTGAAATGTCATGTTTATCGCCTATGACAATCCTTTTCAAAAAACCATTTCCTTTTACTGTATAATGCTGTAAAAACTCCAAGGTTGCTCCCATGCATTTTTAGTTTTTAATTCCAGTCACAATTTTGTGTAATAAAGATTGTGAAATGCTTTGAAAAAACATCGACAAATCAGAAAATGTGAATTGCCTATTGCAATGAACTTTTTCATCAATGCAGCATACTTTCCAGATCAACCATGGACGTCCAACTACATTCTTCATCGTGGACATTTTCCTTTCCTTCATTAGACATCCTAACCAACTTTCACACCATACTTTTTTCTCACGTTCAAAAACTTGATAACTGCTCTTATTTCACAGCTGGTAAGCCAATCGATTAACATGGCAACAGTTAAACGTGACTGTTGACAAACAATGACTTAAAATGTTAACTTAAACAAACAAAATATCTAGGCTAATACGATCTCGAGTTAAACAATGTAACTACGCATGCACGACCTTCATGCTGCCACATGTGCAGGAGATATGCGCAAAGAGTACATACTTTCTGGATCAGCAAAGTATAGTATTCTGCACCACTAGAAGCCCTAGTAAGACACAAATTACGCATTTCTTTGCTTTCAGCTACGTACATAATGCCTCTCATGATGTACTTGGGTAATCGAGTTTCTGGAGTTGTAGCAAACTCCCTCACAATCTACACGAATTTCTTTTAATAATTCTTGCCAAAAAATAATTTTTAAAAATCTGGTAGCACATTTTTTTTTTTTTTTTTTAACCATGGCCTAGTTGTCTGTACTAGTGTTTTTAAACCATTTTCAGGTTCTTGAGATCATAATTTTTGGCTACTTTTAGGTCTTTTTTACAGTCGATCTATGTCTGTGGCACTTCCAATATCAAGAACTGTATGTCATTTCTTAAAATCTATTAAATGAATTCTTAACGAAATGTTTTATCTTCCACGTATGAAAATTTTTAGCTACTTTTAAGCTATTTGTAAAATCCTTGCATTCCTTTCTACATAAACTGAATAAATATCTACATATTTTTGTGAAGTTAAATCCCATTGGACTATGTGATGTAAAATCCTTGCATTCCTTTCTACATAAACTGAATAAATATCTACATATTTTTGTGAAGTTAAATCCCATTGGACTATGTGATGGCGAACACCATGAACCACCAACCTGCTTTTACTGAATTTTATATAACAGAATTAACACAATGCATCTTTTAAATTCCTTTAATTTTTCATGTATTTTTCTAAATTTTCACATATATTTTAATACTTTCCCCTTTACTGAATGACATTCTAAATATTACCCAGCTGTTTTGTAATCAATATGTTTTAAAAAGAATATACATATAAGATATATGTAAAAAAAACTTACTTTTGGATGCTGTTTAAATTGATCTATTTCCTCTGCTGTACGTTTATAAAGCATGCTTTGATAATGACTGAAATTTTGGAACTGGAAGAATTAAAGTACATGAGCAAATGGATAATTTCAAATGACTGTTTAAAAATTACACTGAAATAAATATGAAATATTAAAAATCATCATCAGATAAGTTTCCATCAATTTTTTAGTAAATTGAAAATTTTGTGTATCTTGCAGAATATAAAGGTAGAATACAGGGTTAATTTTTCCTCCATCTCAAGTTTTTGATATGAATTAACCTACCTCATCAAAACTACAAATGGAGTTTTGGAACTGTGAAGGTGATTGTGTTAAAAAATGATCTGAAATAACAAAATATTCTGCATCATTTCACAGGGAAAAAAAAAAAAATACAAAACCTTTTTAAACAGGAGATGGGGTGTACTAATCTTATGGATTTAATAATTCAGATTAAAGAACTTTTATCTCCAATGGTTGGATACTTGCTCAGCAAATATATGATGAGAATGGCCAAATCCATTTGTCATTTAGCCATTTCAAAATGGTAAATATTGCTCAAGGTGCACCATAAGAGGTGACCCTGAACAGGGCTGTTGCCAAGCCTTATGCAGAAGTCAAAGCCACACCTTTGATTTCAGACTGAGTTAACCTCTATTAACTGTTACACCAGCCAAGGCAGAAATTACACAATTAAGACAATGTATTCTAGGATGCCTATTTATTGGTACTTCCATATTATCACAACTACCTTAATAGAAGTTGTCAAATTTTCAAACTCTGGCAACCATATGCACAACACTTCTTCAGGTAACCATATTCCATTGCAAGTGTGATGCAAAAATTTGCTGAATCACTTTTTTCTTCTGTAAAAATAGCCGAACTCCACCAAGGCAGTCGTGCTATGAGAGTACCTATTATGTGAGTAAAAATAATTTATGACACATGATTATGACAAAGCATATAAGAACTACTGTCTAAAGGAAGGGCTGCTTTTAGACAGCAGTTCTCATGTGCTTTGCCATAATCATACATCATAAATGGATGGAAGACCTTTTTAAGGAAAATTGGCTTGCAATCACATTTCAAATAGAGAAACAATGAAAATGTCCATGCATGGCAGTACTATCCAGAACCTTGTTCAAATTACCAGGGTTCGGTGGTCTTATCCAGTTACAAGAGTGAATGCTGCAGCAATTAAATTCAGAATTTATTTTAAAAAAAGGTATCATTCTAACAATGTAACATTAAAATAAATTGCACAAAACTTTCCCCACAAAACTGCATACGAAAGATCTATATAAAAACGGAAATCAGTTATTCTGCATTATTCTTAATGAAAGCATGAAACACAAAACAACTTCTCAAGAAATGCACATCTTATGTGCAGAAGACTGCATTTTAAATAATGTATATTAAAAAAAAGAGAGAAAAATACACAGAAAATCTAAATTTTTACAGGAATTTAAAGCATTTCTTACTATGATGCTCTGCACATCAGTCAAACTGACAGGTTTGAAAATTTCATAATGAAGACTAGAATTCTCACCAAAGAAGTAGGGGAAACAAACTTTTCATATCATATAAAATTTCAATTATAGTTAACTGTTTTTACTGCAATCCTCCGCATAAAGTAGTATTCATGCAACAGATTTATACAAGACTAAACTTCGAGTACACTATCACATTTTCAATTTATGAAACACTCTTCTTATTACGTTTTTCATTTGCATGAAATTAAAATGAAAGATTATATGAGGTGTGACACACACACACACACACACACACACAAAAAGACTAAGTATGTAGCTTGAAAAAAGAGTGGAGTTGGCAACAACTGTTTGGGATTGTAATGATCAAGTAGGTTCCCAGTGGCCAGACCGTTAGTCAATACTACCACACTGAAGTACTAAAAAGGCTTCATGAAAAAATTAGGGAAAAAAAAGCCACAGTTGTGGAGTTATGGATGGCTGTTGCACCAGGACAATGCACCTGCTCACATGACACTACCTGTCAAGAAGTTTCTGACCAGCAAAAACATTACTGTGATGGGGCATCCTCTTTATTCACCTGATTTGGCTACTGGCGAATTTTTTTTTTATTTCCTAAAGTTAAATCTTGTTTAAAGGGAACTCATTTCACCTCAGTTGAAGAGGTTCAAGCAAAAATGGAAAATCTCCTGAAGGGCCTTCCAAAAACGTTATTCCAGAACTGTTACAAGCAATGGCAGCACCGAAAGCAAAAGTGTGTGAATGCTGAAGGTGATAATGTCACGGAGAACTGATTGTGTAAGTACAATGATTTTTTGGACCATTCACTTTTTTATTTATTTATTTATTTATTTTTGTGTCACACCTTGTAGCAAGAAGTTATACTATACAAAATTCATTTGTATTATCTATTCTATTAATAAAGTTTTTGCAAACTAGTCAAAAATTAATGTAATTAGAAATGCAGACAAAATGGCTAAAAATTACCTGATAAATGAACTCATCAATAATTTCCCACAGCCACTGATTTGGTAGTTCGAGTTGAACAGGTTCACTAGCACCTAAAATTAAAAAAAGAATTAAATTTAATTAAATTAACTAGAGCAACTTTAAAAGTGCTTAATATGATTCCAAAGTGGAAAAATGAAAAATAAAGAATGTCTGATTACTGATTTCCTACATACATAATACTTACTTAATATCAGATTAAACAAACGGCAGTAGTTGAAATATGATTCTAGTCTTTCAGATATACTTGGACCACCCTAAAGGACGTAAAAATTATCAATATAACTTACTTTAGGAAAAAAAAAAGAAAAGAAAACTATTTGAAGTGAAATCTTAATGTACTTACACTAACTCTTGCATAAAGATGCCTGTAATATAATTCTTTGTACAGAATATCAAAAGTTTCATCTGAAAATAAGTTGTTAGATAATTAAAAGTCTAAAAGGGGGTGGAATGTAACAGCAAGATAATAATCATAATATTGAAGAAATAGGGCATACCATCATGTACAATAGATGCAACATCTTTTGCTAATGGCCATGGCGTAGTTTTGTAGAATCTCTCGGTCAATTTTACATAACTAGAAGATAATTAAATAAGACATTTTTATTAAATCAAATTTTCATTTTATCTAACTATTTTGAAGAGATTTTTTAATGCAAACAAGCTCAACTGATCACCAAATTTTGACCGAACTACATCTTAAAATTCCAGATTACTAATTTAAATAGATTTTTAATTGTATTAAATGTTGTACATAAATTAAAGTCAATAGTTTCAAAAAATAACTGCTAGATTTATTTTATCCCATTTTTCTTTTTATTTATTTATATTATTTTGCTTTATTTATATAATTTGCTTTTTATATCATTTTGCTTGAATAAAACCATACAGTAGTTAGTATATGGATATTTGAAAATGATGACTAGACTTTTATTTTCGAAAAATATTGAACTTAAGTCTTGTATCAATATAAAGTTTCTTAAAGAAGATGAAAATAGTATCAACACTTAAAGTAGGTAGATGTATTTGATATTTTGAAACTTAATTTTTTCTGTGGCCCTCTACAGCAATATTCCTGACATGCTTTGATATGTTAAATTTAAAAAGAAACTTTCATCCAATGCAGAACATTTGTTAACTTGATGAATGCAGTAAATGTCGCTTTATTATTAATCCCTAAATATGGCCAAGAAACCACAAATTTTGGAACAGAAAAGAAACTGAAAGTAATTACATGCTTAAATAGCTGCAAATTTTGCATGGAAAGGTATGAAACATTTTATATTCAACTAACAAAATCATCATGAACATTTTATTAACTTGAATTTCATCAGTTCCATAGAAATTTGCCTTTGCCCTTGTAGGGTTCCCCTTAGTTCACTAACCAGTTATTTTAATTCTGGTACATTCCTAAATTCTCTCTTTAGAATATTTAAATGGGTGAAATGAGAAAGACAGAGCATGATTTCGGTAGTGTAGCACATGTTGCTATTTTGTCTTCCAGAGCGCCTATATATTCTGGCCATTTACTTAGTCTTTTGTTGATGTAGGTTGCTCAGTCAGCCTGTTAGATTAGATTACATTAAATTACAAAGTCTAGCACTACTTCTGACATTTTGAATTTATTGTTAAATTTATCTTCAAGTTCTCACCACAAGTAGTCTGTGCCTTTCTGTTAAAGAGCTGTGATAAATAAAAAAAAGCTTTTTACACCCTTCCCCTGTTGAGTTACTCTTCATGCACTTGTGAGAAATCGCCAGGTTGAACTTTAGCTACGAAGACAAGATCTTGTACGCCCAGAAATATCTTGTACTCTTGTTTTAGCCTTCTGTCAATCTAGAATGTTGAAACTTGTTTCTATAAAATTTCTCTATTAATTTCAATAAACTTTCAACTTTTCAAGTATGTATCCAGAATAAATATTTCAGGAAATTTTTAACACTAAAAGGAAATTTCGATCTCATTCCTGATATTTTTACACTATGTGATCTATTATTATAAAAATAAGTTTAAATAAATTTGCAATATCTCTATCTGTTATTTTCTTCAAGAGGTTTTTCATAATGTATCTAAAATTTTTAATTCTTAACTTTTATATGATTTTCATAGTACTTAGATATTAATACAACCAAATGTAGCAGAAATCACAAAATTTTCAGAATGTACTACTCTAGCAACCATGATCCATAACAATCCTTCAATCAAGCAAAACAGCTTTTTTCATATGCATTCTTTTTTGATGTATCCAAGTTCCAATAGATTTTATAAACAAATCGGGTTATCTTTTACCTTAGTTTTAAAATATGAGCTAGTAGAATTTGCCACAATGGAAGAAACTGATGTAAAATTTTCGCATGAATACTGAATTTCTACTGAAACTTTTCTAAAGTGAAGAATAAGAAAATGCGTTTCCTCGATAACTGCTGTTGCCCAGGATTCTACGAAGCTCAGTTCCTGCAATTTTTTTTTTTTTTTAATGAAAATAGATTACCATATACTTCGGGAGAAGAATAGCACAAAAACATCACACACAGATTTGAAGGAGAATGTGTTTTATTTTTAAATATATTATGTAATCTTTTATTTAATAATTCAAATTTGTATTTTAAGCTGCTAAAGTAAGTTTTCTTTTTATATCTTGATAGAGTTTAACGACTTATGATAAATGAGGACAGTTTGGGAATCTTTCTAAAAAAAAAGGTGCTAAAAACCACCAACTTGCAGGCGATAAGTAACTTTCACCCTTTTCATCTGTAAAAAATCAAACTGCACCAAGCTGATTGCATTGATATGTAAGTACCGTTTTTATGTTTCGCATATTGCTGCAAGCAGATTTTCGTTTTCAAAGTATACATGTTAAATAAATGAGGCACTGTATGTGCAACTTTTATCTAATTTGACTCTCACTCAGCATGAAATCTAAACAAATGAATTTATGAACCTTCTAAATAGCCGATTTCATTCTCAGAAATAATAAAGCTAATTTCTTCTAGGTTTGAAGTTTATTATTATCATTAATTTAATCTTACTGAAAACATATACAGTGCTAAACAAACTTGGTATTTTTGGTTAGCTAGGTACAAGCGGAAAGTCATCAAAAAATTTAGACCTGGACCAACTTTCATACAAACCTGACAGGAATCATTCACCGTCATTTCCAGCATTCACTTAAAACAAGCAACATTTATTTTTACTACAGTCAAAAGTCTTTAATCTGGACTCGTCAGGACTTCGGCGATTCCGGATTATCGATATTTCCGGATTATAGATCATCAGTTTAAATCTGGTAAGATGGCATGCAGAAATTATAAAATTAAAAATATGAAACCTTAATTTATGAAATAAAGAGCAATTATGATCTAAAGGGTATCAAAATTTACAAAACAAAAAGCTTAATATTTATTTTTTTACTTTATTAAACATATCTTTCAATGTAAGTTGTTTAAGTTGCTTCGTTTTATGTGCTAATAATTTCTCTTTAATTCTATAAACAGACATAATTTCTTGTTCAGTTACAAAGTTCCGCTGTTCAAGTCCTATAATTGCTGTGTCGAGAATACCGACTAATTTGTCAATCGAAATTTTTTTTTTCACTAATATCTCTGTCACTTTCTTCCCGCCTTTATCCATTTTTTGCAGCAATTCCACTTTTTGTTTGATGGACATCAAAACATGCTTTCGCTTTGTAGCTCTTTTGGCAGCTCCAGAATCAGAAATTCTATATGACATAATCGAAAGTTCAAGCTTACTTTTATAAAATTGCTCTAACAGTCTGCAAAAAATAATATGCCTGATCCAATTTGAAGACTTAAGGGAACAATGCAATCTGCAACATTAACTGAAATATATAATTAGATAATTTTAGCTTAGCTTATACCATTCGTTATACATTAAACGCGCATGTGTAAACGTATTATGCGCATGCGTAAACGCATTATGCATTTAAGGCCCGTTTCCACTACTGCGTATGCGTTGCGGTGCGTATGCGTTTCTCCAATCAGCGAACGAATTCACTTTGATTGACATCTGCAATCCGGTCGGTGTGCGGTGACGGATGACATACGGATGGAGTTCAACAATGTTCAACTTCTATCCGTATGTCTGCGGTTGCGTTGGGGTCACGTGGTGAAAAAGGAGCAATCAGGTGCAGTGACTAAAAATTAATGGCGGCAGAAGTAGCGATGAACGCTCGCTAATAGGGAAAGAATGTTTTGCTAAAAAATACTTATTTCTGAATTAACATTATAGCGAGAAATTGCGTGCTGAAAATGACAGCAATCAGCTGAATTTAGTTTAAAATGATAAGAAAAACAAGATAACTGCAACTACAGTACTTGTTCGTTCAAGAAAATCAGCGGCAAAAATTATCATTCCAAGTCCATGAAATAGCAAAATTTGTTCTGATAATCATTTTTTAGTTCTACATACTCATTTAGCTTTAATGAAAATGAATGTCTGACTATATCAAACTGCTATAACAAATTAGATATGATTAAAAGATTTGCTATTTTTTTCTTTTGAAACAGGTAAAAAACTAAAAACGTTAATTATAAATTAAATTTGATAGCCTTTTAAATACTCCAGTTCATTGAAGAGTATGTTAAATTTGTATTTCCCTTTATAAATATATCTCTTTGGATAACATATATTTGTAAGCACATGAAATATATTTTTAGCAGCCCGTTTAACTTCAATCGGAACGCCACTTTAAAAGATAATGATTTTTCCAAAAAATGTACTAGAAGCTGAAGAACAAACTCTGGTGAATTTTTCAGACAATAGCAAAGTGAAAGAGGACCAAAAAACTTAAGTTTTAAGAATTGATTTACTTGATGATGTATATAACCCAAAATATGCATGCGACTTACGTGTAATCCTAGCTTAGTGGTAAAGCTGATGTTAATGATGTCCACTTTTTGGAGTCGTGAGTTCGAATCCCATACGCTTTTTGCACCATGTCTGCAACTTTCTTACCTTTTTATTCCAATTTGATCTATATTCGTGTTTTATAATTTATTTCTATTATTATATGCATTAAATATATTGTTTTATTTATGCTCTTATTTATTTAAATTTTTCCCGCAAAAAAGTTTTGAAAATTATATAATACTAATTTTAAAGCATATCCTGTACATATATATTTGAATTTAACAAACATTCTCTATTTTAAAAAGCAAATTTAAAGTTAATTAAATTTAAATGAATTTTTCCCGCAAAAAGTTTGAAAATTTATTAATACTATTTAAAGCATATCCTGTACATATATATTTGAATTTAACAAACATTCTCTATTTGTAAAAAGCAATTTAAAGTTAATTAAATTTAAATGAAATTTAATGCAAACAAAGAAATGATTAATTATTGCTGTGGCAAGTATCAAAATCCATGAATAAATATATAATTCCAAAAATTTATTAATCCTTAAAAAATTTATAAAAATGCATAAGTGAATAATGGGATAGATTATTAATCCTAAAAAAATTATAAAAATGCATAAGTGAATAATAGGATAGATTATTAATCCTAAAAAATTATAAAAATGCGTAAGTGAATAATAGGATAGCTTATTAATCCTAAAAAATTTATAAAAATGCATAAATGAATAATAGGATAGATTTAATCCTAAAAAACTTATAAAAATGCATAAGTGAATAATAGGATAAATAAATTTTTGGAATTATATATTTATTCATGGATTTTGATACTTGCACTTGATTTACATATGCTCTCAGAATTTAAATGATATTGTATATTAGTTTGCAGCAATAATTAATCCTTTATTTGTTTGCATTAAATTTCATTTAAATTTAATTAACTTTTAATTTTTACGAATAGAAAATGTTTGTTAAATTCAAATTTCATTCCTTGCAGCAATGGCGCAAAAGAATTATTTAAATTTAATTTATTTTGAAACCCTGCAGATATATATATATATATATTTTCGTTTCACTTTTATGTGAATGTATATACATGTGCTCAGACTTTGGGATGTTTACGACTCTAAACTTTCATTCCAATTAACATGAGACAGTATTAATTCCCTAAACATTTTTTTAACAAAATATTACTATAATAATTGCTTTTAAATTCAGTCCTCTCCTGCAGAAGCGCAGGAATTAATTAATTAAATATCTCCATTTTCTTTACCTAATGTGTGTATTTATAAAGAGAAAAATCTTATTTTTATAACTTCTTGTATAAAAAGAGATATGAATTAAAAATGTTTAAATTAAAAATAATATTTTATGGATTATGTATAAAATATAACTGCCCATAGTGCATTTTAAAACAAACGAGATTTCTAATAAATTATCCAGCTATGACCCTGAAGTCGGTGGTATACAAGCATAGCAAATTTTGCTTAAATATTGTGAACCTTTCCTTACAGTTGCTCTGTACTTTTAAAGTACCAACTATTTTTAATCCCTTTAACTTTTTATTTTATGTTATTTATTTGTTTACTTTTTCACTAACAGTACATTTTAGTTTTAATAATATATATATTATTTCATAATATTTAAGGCTTCTAGAAACACAATTTTTTTTTTTTTTTAAAATTTAGTTCAGCTTCTATGGAATTCGTCATGTTCATAATATGCATTATAACCTTACTTATCTAAAATTCCATATCAAATCCAAAACAAACAATACTCGCTTAAGCCGGAAAAATTCAGATGTTCAGCGTCGTAACTCGCGAACTGCTTGCGCCAAAATATTACAGTGACACCTAGCGGCGGAAAATGAAAATATTTTACGCATACGCAGCAGTGGAAACGCTTGTACGGATGCCGAAGGCGTGTCTTCAATTGACGCAACGCGTTCGTATGCAGTAGTGGAAACGAGCCTTTACACATGAGCAGAAAGTTTGTAGCATTGAGGTCCGGATTATGGATGTAAGGATTAAAGACTTTTGACTGTATTATGCAAATTTGGTATTCAAAAATGCTGAAAATTTTGGACTTGTTACCAAATGAAGAGAAGGCCATTTCTCCCCCCCCCAAAAAAAGAGGGAAGTTGGCAACATATTCAACAGGTAATCAAAATCATGAAATGAAGCTTTTTTGATGAGTTAGGTGGCATAGCAATATTTCTACCTCACACATCAAGCATATTTTGGAGTAATCGAATGAATATGAAAATTTCTTCTTCGTATACTTATGAAAATAAATACCTTTCCGTTCATTTGTTCAAGTAATCCTAAAACAGAAAAAAAAATCTGATGTGTGCACCACATGACTTCCTTGTACAGAATATACATTTCATTAATTTTTTAACTCAGAATGCACAAAAATTACATCATCTGAAGAATTATCTAATCGTTGTCACATGTTCTATTCATATACTATAATAAATCTAGAGAGATGTATAAAGGAAATTAAGCAAAGAACAACAACAAGAAGGAAAAAAAGAAAGAAAAGAAACAGTTTTTCACAGACAATTCAGTATTTCTCATTCAATTAATTCAGTTCTCACTTCGCGACAAGGCAAAAATACATTAAAACTTAAGATGTCTGTATTAAAAGTTATGAAGTAAATCTTAAACACTTATTTCTTCGAATAAATTCCAAATTGGATTAAGCAGGATTTAATTCGCAATAATAAAAGACGTTATCTTTGGTATTGCGAAGCTTAGTTTCTCTAGATTGGCATCAAATCTACTATTCTGCTGTTTCAAATGTAAACAAGCAAAGGCCGTCATGGGAAAAACTACTAGGCTTAGCGGCACTTAAACAACTTTTAAATTGTTGATAATTCTAAAAATATGGCATACAGATTTACTAAAGGCATAAAATCCTTAACCAGAATATTAGAACAATATAATTCAATCATTTTTAGAGCAAAAAATACACAATTTACAAACATATAAGAATAAAGAAACTGAGATCACTGAGCCCAGTAACAGAGTGGATATACATCATACATTTGGTACTTATATACTTTTGGTGTGGCTGATTGCAACCAAAATACGAGGTGCACATCTACATGTTATAGGAGTTCTATATACAAAATTTCAATGTTCTGAATGCCACGAAAAACTCTCTTCAGAATTCATTTTAAAATAGTTGTAAAATTTTTTGGGAGTAAAAGACTCCTTTATCCTGTCCCTATGTACAGATATCATGCAAAAACATCATTAAATTGCATTTGATAGCAGTCAAAATGGATATTTGTGTTGAAATATGATGCCTGAAAATTTTCGCGATTACAATACTTCCTTTTTACTTCATACAAGGAAGTAAAAAACCCCCAACAACAAAATGAAATATTTTTATTTTATAAGATTTCCAGGGAGATAATAAATGATATATAACACAAAGGGTTTGAGTAGAGAGAAGTGTATCCTTTGTATTATCGGGAAGATGTTGTTTCATTTATGGTACCATGAGTAGTTGAATGGTATGGAAACCTTATTATGACGTAATTGGTTGCATGACTGTGGTAAATTCGTAAGGGCTTGAGGTGTGCATGTGTTGGTTAGGAAGTATATTGCTTGTTTTGTTGTTTAGATTGCAAAATGGCCGAATGTGGTAAGATTAATTTGAAGTTTCTGTACGATTTGGAAAGAAAGAGGAAAATGAAAGTTTACTTAGCTATTATTAGGTGTCCTGTTTGTAGGAAGGAAATGCATATGGTCGAACAACGTTAAAGAGGATATTTTCGACTCTCATTTTGTGAATTTCTGTGGCGATGAAAGAATACTGATTCTAGTTCAGATAATTTTAGGAGGAAGTTTTTGGATGCTGTTAAGGAATTTTCTTTCACTGAAGACGTATTAATTTGTAAATAAGTTAAGTGGATATTTCCTTTGTGTAGTGCAAAGATGAATTTTCTTTTTTATGTTATTTCATTGTTTGATTTAAAATAAAGTTTATCAAAATTATGTATTTTTTGTTGGCTGCTCCTTTGACTTTTCAAGTGAATATAGTTCGATGTGTATATGGACAAAGTCAAGGGAGTGCGCAAAGCCTAGTTTGTGCAACTCTGATTTTTTTTTAAGTGAAAATAGGTCAGCGTGTACATGGATAAAGCCAAGGGTGTGCACAATGACATTTTTATGCAATTCTGGAAATTTTTTTTTTAAGTGAAAATAGGTCGATGTGTACATGGATACTAAGTTTGTGCAATTCTTCGTCTTGTTATTTTGGCTTTGTGTCGCCAAGGGGTACCCGTAAATATTCTTTTACCAATGCAAAGTAAATAGTAGAATATCATTTAAAGGCTACTCAATATTATAAAACATTTGAATCTATTTTATTTTCAGGATATAACTAATGAACATTTAAAATGAAAATTTCTTTAATCAGTTTACCATTATGTAATGAACGCATATAACAGTTTCACCCAAATAAAAAAATTGCGTTTTTCTTTTTTGGTTTTAAGCACATAATTCTATTATGTCATTAGCAACAACATAAATTTATCAGTAATTTAAGGCTAGGTTATTTGAATAAAGCAAAGTATCTAAGGGCTATCTACCTAAGGGCAGGAATGCCTTTGTGGAGGACTTTTCTAGAGAAACTATTTCGTATTTGCATTACACATGGTGAAAAAATCTGAAAATCATTCATGCAACCAGCCAGTTTTTTTACATCCCAGGTGAATAAATGCCCAGGTCAACTCCCAGTATTTAGCAGTTTTAACAACTCAGCCTCTGGTGGGTTCAGTAATCAGTAAGCCTCTTTAAAAACAAACAAAGTCTCTGCTAGTTCGATACGCTGAATTACAAAACCATACTGCAAAGAAGTTTTAATTCCTTATAATGTAGTTAACAAATTAACAACCTTTCAACACATAAAATAAAACAAACACCATATACACATAAAATTTGTTTGAAACAGTACTGACCTGAATTTTGCTCACAAAATTTTACTAATATATTTAAAATTTATCAAGTACAAAAAACTTAAATTAAAGAAGGGATGGGAATAAAAGCGTTACATCTTTTTTAGATATTTTTAATTTATTACAACACCACTATTTTTTAGACAAAAGATTTTGAAAGTTCTTAAAAAAGTTATTAAATATGATTTTATATAACATATATTACTTATGGAAAGAGAGAAGAGGCAGAATGAAAGATGAAAAAAAAGACATACCTGTTTTCATACATGCTCTGCAATTCATATACATTTCCTTCATTTATAGCTTTAGCTAAGTACATCAAAAAATTTCGTACCACCTCAGGAATTTTGTATGTCTCCGCAACTTGTCTCTCATAATCCATTTCTAAAACAAATAAAGAGAAGTAGTAGTGAAAGTGGATTTCTGAACCTTAAAGGTTACATGCGTTAAACTCATTTCAGATACTTCGAAACACATATCAGAAACAAGAACAAGTTATAGCCAAACACAAGTTTAAAGTAACAGTAAGCATGAGGTACATTAACATGCACAGTATTGAAACACCAAGAAACAATTTCAAAACAAATTCAAATTAAATAATAAAAACTCATCTCTTTCAGATTTTGAAATACAGTGGCATCTCTTCGTTACACTCGGGGCAAACAGGTTCATTCTTTGTTTTTAGTACATAACTACGAGTTATTCGAGAGTGACCAGTTCTAAGGGAAATTAACAAGACTTCCTCTTTCCAGTTCCTGGTAGTTTCCAAACAGTCTAAAAGGTAACCAAAATTCTCTTCTTTTTTGCCGCTTCGAACAGTCAGAAAGAAAAAATCATAAAAAAAAAAAATAATAATCACAAGTAATCCTCAAAGTAATCACCATCGGCATCCAGTGCCTTTTGTCAACGAGTGGCTAGCTGTGTGCTGCCACCGCAGTAAAACTTAGGAGTTCATGAGGGCCTATCGAGGTCGGTCAGTTGTTGAAGGATTTCCCACAACGATTGTTGTCCAGGGAATGGAAAAGATGGTAGTCTGTTGGCACGAGGTCTGAGAAGTATGGTGGATGGGATAGTGTCTAACAGCCCAGTCACTGGATGATGTCCCTGGCCTCCTGAGCCACATGTGACCTCACATTGTCATGGAGGAGGATTACACCATTATGATTGACCAATGCTGGCTCTTTATGCATCAGTGCCTGATGCATACATTCTAACTGCTGCAAGTACAGGCCTGTGGTGATGGTTTGGCTCACTGGCATGAGCTCATAGTGCACCACTTGGCGACTAGTCCACCAGACACAGAGATCATCAGATACCTATACCTGGAAGTGTGCAGTAAACTCACCACATGTTTGGCTACTGCCACTCTCTATGGCTGCTCTCATGGCCTCATCGTTGTGGCTGACCGCTGCATGGTGCATCACTAAGAGACATATTCCCTGACCTGAACTTCTGGAACCATTGCCTAGCAGTTTATTTGTTAAGGGCATCATCCCCAAAAGCCTAGTAAATCCTGCGACTTGATTCTGCTGCTGACAGGCCCACTTTAAAATAATAGAGCAAACAACTCCGAAAAAGCACCTTTGACGTGTCCATTTCAATCAGTCGCTGTGCAAGTTATGTTTGAAGTATCGATACAAAGTGCTTTTATATTCTTGGTCAATGTCCAGACTCCATAATAACCACTTCATCGCCAGGTTTGGTGACTATTTTTCTATGTTTGGGGTTCACTCCTCCATTGCCATATCGGAAATTGCAAAATCTTCTTTGGTCACCTTTTACTTTAGGTTTTACTCTTCTTATTATCTAGCTGAACAGAGTTGCTGTCATCTGATTAAGACTCTCTGCTTGATGACAATACCAACAGTACTAAAAGAGATGACACAATTCAACTGAGGCTTTGGTGTCAGCCAGTTCGACTGAAAATTACATAAAATCATTAACTCTGTGTGACAAATGAATAATGGACACTAATCATACTAAAGAAAAAGTGAAAGATGTTAATGAAACATAAAATGTTAATATCTATCTATTTATCATAAACTGAAACTAATAATGCTTATTTGATATACGTAGTGTATTCGGAAACTAAGAACCGTTTCATTCTAGCGCCGTCGCAGGGCTGTAGTAGGCGTCCCGCATGCTCTATAGTCTTTTTTCTTCACTGACTTCCAATTGTCGCCATTTTGGTTGCTCTATGTTGTGTTTTCAGTTTGCTGTGCACATTCAAAATGTTTAAGACAATTAGTTCTCCCACTGACTGTGAGATTCGTGCCGTGAATTAATTTTTGAACGCGAGGAATGTTAAACAGGCCGAAATTTATCGTCAAGTGACAGAAGTTTACGGTGAATTCGCGATAAGTGATGGAATGGTAAGAAAGTGGTACGAAAGTTTAATGCAGGTCAAACAAATGTCCACGTCGAGGCTCGGAGTGGTCGGCCTTCTGTTGTCACCGATGATTTGGTAAGGAAAGTTGATGAAGCAATTCATGAGAACAGACGCTTCACAATGACAACTCTTTCAGAGGCATTTCCACAAATTTCACGTACTGTTTTGTTCTCGAAGCAAACGTTCGGTCAGATTCCTATTCCGAATGCCTAATACAATACGGTCGTGAATCAATCCATTTTCTTGTTCAGCAAACTCATAAGTTGACGCTAAAGTCTTTAACTGAGTGCATAACATTCAATTGTTTGTCCTTCTTGCTGGCTACACGAAAAGAATTTGTAACGTTCATATACGACATTCTGCCGTGGTGAACAATAATCTTCAAAAGATTTCAAGACCTCTTCGTATTTCTCTTTATTCTCAGGTGGCTCAAATCGAAACGTGTTACAGTCAAAAGTCGTTAATTCAGACACCCATAATCCGGAATGATCTATAATCCGGACCTCAAAGCTACAAACTTTCTGCTAATGCGTCGCGTTCACGCATGCGCACAGGCATTTACGAGAGCGCGTAAGACCCTTACGGCTGCGAATATGTTTGTGCGCATGCGCGTTTAATGTGTAACGGAGTTATACGCTAATACGCTAAACTAATTCAGTTAATGTTGCAGATTGCGTTGTTCCTTAATCTTCGAATTGGATCCGGCTTATTATTTTTTGCAGACTGTTAGAGCAATTTTATAAAAGTAAGCTTGAACTTTCGATTATGTCAAATAGAATTTCCGATATATATTTACTACAAAGCGAAAGTATGTTTTGAAATCCGAAATCTGTTTATCAATTTCACGCTGCTCTGCGGCAGAGGGGGGGCAGAAACGTCATTATTAGATTATGATAGATTAGAAAGATTATGTCAAATAGAATTTCCGATATATATTTACTAATATGCAATTTGTATCTACAAAGCGAAAGTACGTTTTGAAATCCGAAATCTGTTTATCAATTTCACGCGGGGGATTGGAAGTTAATCTGTCAGCACTATCCTTATCTTCAGGGCAGACGTTTTTATTTTATTTGGTTTATAATTCCGTACTAAGTGTAGTATTTCATCTCGATGTACTCCGTCTTTGATATGATTTAAATCAAGTTCCTCGTCATTATAATTCGCTTCCGATAGTGAAGAAAGTGACCCAGAGGTTATTGAAAACGAAAACATTTCGATTGACAAATTAGTCGGTATTCTCAACACAGCAATTATAGGACTTGAACAGCGGAACTTTGTAACTAAACAAGAAATTATGTCTGTTTAATAGAATTAAAGAGAAAGTATTATCACATGAAACGAAGCAACTTACATTGAAGGAAATGTTTAATAAAGTAAACAAATAAATATTAAGCTTTTTCTTTTTGTAAATTTTGATAGCTTTTGATCATAATTGTTCTTTATTTCATAAATTACGGTTTCATATTTTTAATTTTGTAATTTCTGCATGCCATCTTACCAGATTTAAACTGATGATCTATAATCCGGAAAAATCGATAATCCGGAATCGCCGAAGTCCCGAGGAGTCCGGATTAACGACTTTTGACTGTATAAATTTCAAGTTCTTCAGTACCGAGTAAATTCAAAAGGATTGCACTTTTAGTCTTATCTGGCTTGGCATCTTTTTTCCGTTGCAAGTAAATAGTTTTCTAGCTCTTGCTTCCCTTTTTTCCATTTTTCTTTAACATTTCCGATGGAGAATGTTAGCGGAGCAGGTGGTCTGAAATCCATTTTGCTTCTAATACCATGTAACTTCTTGTGTAGTTTGTTTAAACTTAACAACTTGTGTACTTTAAAAGTAGACTCAACTAATGAGTATGTCTCAAGAATTCAAAATTTTTATTATTACATTTTTAAACAGTTTACATGACATTCAGCTAGCACAGTAACACGTGCATCACAACAACGGAATCGCATAGCATGCGCACCATTAAAGTTATAGTTATTTACAGTTACAGTTATAGTTATTTTAAATATACATCACAGTATATATGCACGACTTTACTTTTCTACTAATTACTTTTAAAATTAAATTGTATAATCAGTGATTATGTTAAAATCAGAGATTATGTATATTTATTAAAACATAGATTATATAATAATGAAAATACACATTAAATTTGTATGCTATTATGCTCATGATATTAATGAAATACTTTTTAGATTATAAACACATAAGACCTATATTTTTATTATAATTGCTACATATTGAAACATTGGAAATTTATGGATTTATTATTATGAATGATGAAAAACATTTGTAGATACCCTCATTAATATAAATCTTATTCATTGCATTAATACTAATAAACATACATCAACAACTTCTAAACCACCACATCTCTCTCGCTATGTGTATGTAAATATATGACTTATTAGATGTGTGTACAGTCATTAAAATTCACCCACTTGCACACAACCTTTGCATTTGTAACTATATTTGTGAATTTAAACAAAAAAAAAAAAAAAAAAATAGAGCAAGTAGCCTTTATGAAATATTTAGCATTTAGGGGAAGAAATAAAAATTTTTGACTCATCACAAAACAAATATCACTAAATGGCATTATATCATATATATAAAAGTTATTATATAAATATATCGATACAAAAATAACTATTTGCAATAATAAAATCAAATATATACAACAGATCATTACAAAGAATAGGATATCTCTTTGCACGTTTTTTCTCTTTAGCTTTTAGAATCGCCAGAGTTGAGATAAAAGTAATTTACTTAATAGCCATCATCTTTCTATTATTTTCCTTAGCTAACAATAAAGTTTAAAATGAAAAGAGTGCGAGCAATACAAAATACAACAGGGAAAAGCAATCGTCACTTTTGCCAATCTGAGCGATAACTGATTCTTGTTTGGCCTGTTTGATAAAAGTGAAGATGGTAACCCGATTTCGCGGAAGCTGACTTCCCAAAATTGTTCCTTCTAACATATACCATATGTGATAGCAGCCTAAGGGGAAAAGTCAAACAACCTACATAAAACTCTAATAACTGAATTTCTCATATTTTATTTTTCAACATCTACCTGTGATAAAAGAATTAAGACAATAGTGGTAAGAATAAATACAAAATATTGTGTATTTATTAAAAGTTCAAGCAGGTTAGCACTGTCACAGTATAATAAATATAGGATAACAAATGAAAAACATACCATGTAAATCCACATCATGAATGCTATGATAATAGGGGTCATACTGAAATTAAAATGAGAAAATAATCTTAATATTCAAGACAGTATAAAATTTACACACAGACATAAAATAAGGTTCTAATTTTAATTTGAAATCAGCCTTTAAGTCCCACTTTTAATTTGTTACTTCTTTCCTATAGCCTAAAAATAATAACATATTTATCATAAATCCTTCTGAAATGCATCAGTTTAAAATTAATCCCTGTCATATGATTCTCAAATTAACATTAATGGCACATGTACTTACATCATAGCAAAAATAAAACTAAATTCTTTTATATTCTATAATAATGATAAATTTGCACACTAAAACATTTATTTAACCAATCAAAAAATATAAAGCACAGCCACATTCACTCATCTAAATCTAATATTAATATTATAATCTTCACAATCTTTTCACATCTATCTCTGACCTGCTAAGATACAGCCTGCAGCCTCTCTCTTACTTCAACCAAATTCCTACACATGTGCGAAAAGCATGCACGTAGTTACTGAAGAATGGCAACATGTCTTGAGACAGTTAAACTTGTATATTTACTCCAGGAATGCTGTGCCAAAAATAAAGAATTATATCAATCAACCATGACTGAACAACAAACTGAAATCAGTGTAGATTATGAGACTATAACATTTGTAAGGGAGAGCTTCAGTTACTTGTAAATGCTTGATAAGTCTAATTAAGTGTTGTTAAGTGAGCGAACGTGTTATAAACTTTCTCAAAATGACAAATTTTTGCAATCTATATCATAAAATAACAAAGAACGGTTAAGATAAAATAACACGCCGAACAAGTATTAATTTAGAAGTCAAATAATAAAAAATCAGTATTATATTTGCAAATTTTTCCAGAACTAGTTTCGATGGTTTCCCCCAACCATCATTCTCAGCTGCTAAAGTGCAAATGATCAGTGTAAATGAACGATTTGTGCTCCATTTGCACTTTGGCAACTGAGGCTGATGTTTCGATAAAACCATCGAAGCTAGTCCTGTGAAAATTTGTAAATATAATGCTGATTTTTGTTGCTTGACTTCTAAATTAAAAAGAATGGTGAGTCTATATTTTAGGGTACCCCTTGGATTATTGCCAAGTTGTTTCGTTCATGGTAACCTGAGTATTTTACATTGAATGTTATGGAAAACCTATTATGACATGATTGGTTGTAATGCATGATTGCGGTGATTTTGACTGTTTGGAAAATATTTGAAAGGGCTTATTTATATGTTGGATGTTGGTTAGGAAAAACATTCCTTACTTTGTGCTTTACGCTGTAAAATGCCTGCTGGTGGTACGATTAACCCAAAGTTTCTGCACACTTTGGAACAAATGAGAAAGAAAACATTGACTGACCGGTGTGTAGGCTTCGTTCATCTCTTGGTAAATTACACAATGAGATTTCAGGATTTGGAAACAGGAGCTCATATCAACATTATGGAAGGTATGTGGGGTGTGATAAAAAGGGATTTTTTAAAAGAAATGCCACCGACAGTCAGGAGGACATTTTTCATTTTTACTTTTGCGAATTTATGTCGCGATGGCAGTATACAGATTCTAGTTTAGATAATTTTAAATAGTTTTGGATGCTGTTAAGGAATTCAAATGCAGTTTTTTGAGATTATATATTTTTTGTTTTAATTATGTTTTGGATGCCATTTGACTAGGAAGGTAGTTGGATGTAAAAAAGGAATGGCGCCAAAAAATCGCCAGGGGATATCCTGAAATATATTTTTACCCAAAGAATTTGTATGTATGTGTACTGCGCAAAAAAAAGGGGGCGGACAGTTTTATATCCACCGTTCTACTGAGCCAATTAACAAAATTCAAACTGTGTTTTTAATGTCACAGAAGCACGACATAGGATATATATTAAATTTATATATAGTATTATTCTAACATAGGTATTTTGACATAAAAATCAGACTTTTTCTGAAACGACATGTCAGTTTTTTACCATATTTCGATTATATGACTCAAATTATGCCTAACTATTACATTTTGTAAAATTTGGTGAGAAATTTGTGGAGAAACTCAAAACTTTATTTTGCCACATTTTTTTAAGTTTGTGCCAAGAACAACTTACTCGGCGAAAATCTTAATTTATAGTAACCTGCTTACTTTCTTTTTTTTTTTTTTTTCATTGATGCACGAGTGGAAAAAGGTCCATTGCTCATTCTTTCAAATAATTTTAACAAAGTGAAAAAAATACATTTTCATTATCATCAATATGTGCCAATATGTAAATTCACATATATCTCAGGAAATTTTGAATTAAAAAACTCGGTACTATTCCGTTTTCAAGACTGTAAAAAAAATTGCAGCGAAAACGGCTGCAGAAAAGCACCAAATCTAGCAAACGCGGCCATTTAACAGCGCGTCAAATCTAGTGTACGTGCTGATTTCAGATTGTGTAAGTTTATATAGTTCTAAATTTCTAAATTAAATAGTTTATATAGTTCTAAACGCCACTGAAATAGTTTAATTTTTTAATCTTTTTTTGATTTTAAATCCTTTTTTGATATCCTATAGATTTAACAATTTGGGAATTGCCATGACGAAGTCTTGTAAAAAGCGGCAAATAAGTAAGTGGGCGATTCTGCACTTTACCGAGAATTCTTTCAGAGAAAAGGCATCATTCATGATAGAAAATTATGCTTGAACAACCAACGAGATGAAATTATGCTTTAGCGATAACTTGGTAGCGAAATAGCGATGCAGGCATCCATTCAGTTATGTTTAGCAATTTTTATATAAATTATAATAATAAAGTATTATATGAAATTAACCTTTCATCTAAATTAAACATCAATCTTAGATAGTTATTTACTATTATACTTCCTTTTTTGCGTTAGGTTTGCCGCAATTATTTTTGGCAGCACTGGCATTAACAATAGTTTGGCGATTTTTTATGGCCCTCAAAACCGAATAATAACAAAAACTTTAATTTTTGCAGGTATGCTTAGAAATACATCTACTTTAAGATGATGGTAAACAATTTATAGATCATTACTGAAATCTGTTTCGAAAAATTTATAAAAATAATTTAAAAATAAATTATAAAAAAGGCACAAATTTTATTTGGAGTGAACCTAAATTTAGAAATGTGAGAAGAAAAATCAAATAAGTTTAATTAAAAAAATAGAAATCAAAAAATATATACAAAATTCAATAAACATGGAGAGACTAAAATTTTGAGAGCTAATTTAAAAAAACTACTAGTGCGATTTTTACAAAACTTGGCAGTAGAACAAAATAAAATAAAACAAAAATAATAGATAAAATACAACAAAAGCAGAAAGAAAAATATGAAGATTATTAAACAATGTTAAAGTAATAACAATATTAAATAATAGAATGAAACAGAACAGTTCATTTAATGCGTAATTCAGCAGAAGTTATAATTTCAATTGAAAATTAAGAATTACTGAAGTGCAGGTTGAATCCAAGCTCTGCATTCGCGATTTGATTTCAAAGTTATTTAAATTATATTTGTTAAGACCAAAATACCAACTTTTTTCAAATGCCAATGGTTCTATGATACTTCCCTTCTCAATTTCGGTATGGATTGGATTATTTAATTATGGCAAAGCGCACAAGGGCTATCTGCCTTCCTGGAAGACTTTCTAAGGGAAACTGGCTCGTATACACGTCACACATGGGGAAAACCACGAAAACGCCCATGCAGCCAGCCCGTTCGCGGTATTCGAGCCTCGGACCGAACTACCAGTGTTCAGCGCCTTTACCGATCAGCTACTGGTGGGCACCTAATTTCAGTATGATTATCAGAATAGTATCTTAGATTCAAAGTAAATAATTGAAATAACATGCTAAACTGTGTCCAACAAATAATTTTTCAGTTATTAGCTTTGTTTTATGAGATGAGAAAACAAAATCACAAACCATTAAAAAGGGGAAAAAAAAAAGTTTGGAAAAATGAAAATCTGAGGCTAATTTTTGGAATATGGTAAGAGAATTTAATAGGATGTAATCTGAATGCATCACATGAATTATTGAACTGAAGAACATAATACGAAGTTCAATGACATGTCTGCAGTAGATATATTTGAAATGATATTCAATGTAGAAAATCAAAGCTTCTTCGTCGCCAAACCACAAAATTATGCGCTTTTCAAAAATGCTTCTGATCTAAAAGTAAATGTTTCCGAAATGCAAATGTATTTCGCAATACTATCGTTATAATCCTGTCCTATCTAAATGATCCTTTTGGGATTCTTCAAAAGACTTGAGAAATGACCTGGTTGCAAATTCTGTGTCGGGATCGGTTCTTTGAAATCTGTCATTTTATTTATTGTGCTCACAACAGTCCAATGGCTCAAAATGATAAAATGTTGAAACTAAGGCCTTTTGTGAATCTGCTTAAAGCGAAGTTTCTCCATTTATTCAAACCTGATCAATAACTATGTTTTGATGAATGCATGGTAGAATATTTGGGTAAGCAATAACGGGAACTACTCTGATATGCGCCCTCAAGTCGCCAAATTTCTCGCCAACACGCTGCCATATTACTATCTAAATTTTTTGTCTACATTTTGAACTTTTAGCCTAAAATGTCTCCAAAAATGCGGTTTTCGCACATGCAAAAACTACGTTTTGACACACAATTTAGCTAAAAATCCGAAACAAAAACAAAAAATTTAGATAGCAAAAACGTAAAGTTTCTAACCAAAAATATTTGACAAGAATCCATGTACACAGCGACATGTTTTAACTTAAAAAAAACATCTACGAATTGCACAATGTAGGCAACGAACGAATCTACAAACTACGCACACCTCGCTTTAATAAATTAACATAACAATAAATTTCAAAGAATACCATGTACACAGCATTCTGTTTCAACTTTAAAAAACATCTACGAATTGCACAGTCTAGACACTAAACAGCAAAATAAACTAAAATAAATTTCAAACAATTTAAAAAAACAACAATAACGACAGAAATTTATACTAAAGAACCAATGAACATAACATTCTACAAAATAAAAA